CCCTCTCCCAATCTCGCTCGCCAGATATACAAATACATGTGTATACCAGTTACATATATACAATTATTTTGACAGATATATATATATACAATTCGCATCTCTCCACTCTCTGCCCTCTCTCACTCGCCTCTCTCCTCCCTCTTCCATTCTCGCTCGCTACTCTCATCGCTATAACATGTAGCTACGAATCGTAATTAACAAACTATAACTATGGAGCATAATTAAGCTACTTTTGAGTGGCTATATGTGAAACTTCCCTTTTATTATATTTAAGTTTGACTTTTTATTTTCTTTTTTCTTAAAAGCTACTCCCTCCATTTCAAATTAATTGAATTGTTGAGACATTTTTCATTTTTCATTTTTCAAATTAACTTAATTGTTCCATCTCCAAGACTACTTTTAGAGTATTCTTCCAATTTTACTTTCATTAGTTAGTATTGGAATTAGTTATTATAATTAATGTTTAGTTATTTAATCATAAATTTGACAATTAATAAGGGTAAAAATGGAAAGCTATGTTTAATTTATGTCTTAATCTTCTTTTCTTAAAGGGCGTGAAGCACCTCAACAATTCAATTAATTTGAAATGGAGGGAGTACATGTTTAGCCAATTCAAACTAAGGGTGGGCATAAATACAGGAAAACTGAAAAATCGAACCGAATCGAACTAATTCGGTTCTTCGCTTCGGTATCGATGTTATTTTTTCGAAAGTTCGATTCTTCGATTCGGTGTTCGATTTAAGGGTCTCAGAACTTCGGTGCACCGAAGAACCGAACTTGTATTAAAAAAAATAAGAAAAATTTAAAAATAAAATTATATACATAGGCATGCTCTTAACTAAACATAAAAAAATCAATTAACTATTAAATTATTCATGAACGAATCAAAGTAGCAACAAATGAACAATTTAATAGTTAACTTCAAATATTAGTTTCCACAAGGAACCAAAAGATATTTTTATCAATGTACGTTATGTAAAGGAATTCGTCTTCGTTCTTGTTTTTTCGAGAAGTAGTTGAAGGCACAATGTTTTTGATAAAGTTAAATTTAGTCTTTTAGTTAGCACGATAAGTGTTTTATTGCGAGACACATCATTTCTTAACATACTTTTAAATTTTAAGTATCTTATACTTTGATTTTTGTCACGCCCCGAGCCTACACCCTGGGGGGACTGGCACTCAAAGACCATTGATGGCCACAATCGAACCCTTGGCCTGGCTACTTAACTCAGCAGAAGACTTAAACTAAACAAATAAGTTCATATAATAAACTGGAATGTTATAAAGGAACATTCAACTGGCCATTAATGCAAACTCAAGTCTCAACATAGAATAATGACAATGAAATGACTAAAGAACTAACATCTAACTGTCTATGAAGCCTCTAGTAATAACTGAGATGGATGTTGGGATAAACCCCACAACATCCTAATGAACTAAACTAGAAAATAATGAAATGGATCCTCCGGAATGCATTGAGGCTCACCAACAGACTCTGAACTGCTCACTGGATCAATGATGCGCCGGAATGCCGATCTTAGTTACCTGCGTCTGCATCATAAGACGATGCAGGCCAACTGGCATCAGTACATTGAATGTACGAGTATGCGAATTAGAATGCTAAGCATAACATAGGCTTGAAAAGGATCTGAAAGAAACACATACATTGACTCTTCTCAACTCAAGAATACTTAACTGAAATTATTTCATTATAAAGCAGTTTAAAACAAGTGCAATAGAAAGAAAAAGAAAACTGTTTAAAACATACTGTCAACTCATAATCATAAAATCATAAAAGACATATCATGATCCCTTTCAAAGTCTACTTGTGCAATGCATGAATGAAGTACCATACCTCCATCCATACTAAGCAGAACCCCTTGAGTAACCATGCAATTACTGTTGTGGGAGTTTCTCTAACCGACAACTATCACTTAAGAACTATAGTGATGATACTGCGTTATTAGCCACATGCTGCCCTGGCCATCCTATACCTTGCCGTGGTATAGGATCTGAACTACTAAGTGGATCCACTAGTCTATTGTGAAAAGGGTTCATCTAAAAAGTATGACCCTTTTCTACCCATGGTGGCTACATGGTTTATGGAGACTTGAATTAATGTGAACTCGCATCCCCATGTCAGTGCTCAATACTACTCTAAAAAATATAATATTAGCTCTTATGTTTAAAAACATACTTCTTCTGTGATTTGAGATTAGTGCTCAAAAACTTAGCTCAAAGGCTATCTTGGAAATCAAAGTTTCCCCTCTTGCTTAATTATGAAAGCATTTACTCTTTTCTAAAAACTAGCCCGAAGGCTCTTTGGAAATCGAGGTTTCCTTTCTTGTTTAAATGTGAAAACATTTTAAACTCTTTGGGAATACATAGTCCCCATATACTTTTGAAGAAATGAACTTCAAGCTTTACTCTTTACTGAACTCAAAACTTAAGTCTTAAAACAAAGTTAAAACGTTTGTAAAAGACTTATGAAAACTTGAAATGAACTTCTCTTACTTGACTCTTGACTTCTCTTGACTTTGATCTCAAGTGCTCTTGACTTGGCTCTTAACTGATCGTTGAATTAAATTATGAATTCAAGGATTATGATTGGTGTTTGGAAAGATCTCATGTTGTTTAGGAATGATTTTAGATAGCTAAACATGAAAAGAGACCGAAAATCAAGATTTGAAGGTAGGTCCGCGACGCGGAGGCATAATTAAATTTTGGTTCTGAAAACGTCTATTGAGGTAGAACACCTCATGTCAGGAAAAGCCGAATTTTTCAATTCTGGGAACATGTCGCGCGACGCGCTTCCATACTCAAATTTCGTCCGACGAAATTTCTTCTTCATTTTCCAGCCCCAAATCTCCCAACCTCGATTCTTTTTCTCAGATTACCTTTAGATACAGATACCCAGAAAATGTACCTAAGAACCTAACTCAAAACGACTCTATAATGCGACGTAACGAACTCAGAAACTTCTCAATTCATCCCAATTCAAGAACAACATTCAACTTCAAGAATTCATGTCAAAAACATCAACTTTCAAACTCTTTTTGGAAGAATTTCGCTGAACTAAACATGTTTGGCGCGTGGGTGAATGAACCCAACGCTATGAGAGACTCACATACCTTGTAGGGATCACCCTCGACGAAATCCACAAGCTAAACTCGACGAACTTGACGATTTCCTTGCTTCTCCTTCTCTTTCCTCCTCTTCTTTCCTCTTCTCTAAAACCCTAACTCTTTTTCGAAAGCGTAAAACTGACAAGGTTCAGTTTAGACCCTTAATTAATTCACTAAAACGAATTTAATTAATTGGTTAAGGAAAAGACTGAAATACCCTTCAAAAATCCGGATTGGACATTTCCTTATTTGAACAGCCCAACTTCCAATGGGCGTATCTCACTCATACGAACTCATATTCGCGCAATATTGGCGGCGTTGGAAAGATCGTTCCAAAAGCTTTCCAACCATATCTAGAAATACATCAAACTCATCCTAAGCTAGGAGTTATGGTCGTTTGAAGTTGACCAAAAACTCACTTTAACTTACTTAAAATTTTCCAGATTTCCTCATACTTTCCAAAAATAACTATTTCCAGATTTTAAACTTCCATCTAGTTCTTTCTAGTTGCGAGATGTTACAATTTTGTCCTCATTTTATTTTTCGTTCGCACCAAAAAATCATTTTAAAAACACTGAATTAAACCGAATCGAAGTAGAAAAATCGCACTGATCCGAATTAGTTTGATTTGGTGTACGGTGCACACTTTTCTAAAATCGAAGAACCAAATCGAAGTTTGATAAAAACCGAATTGAAGAACCGAACGTCCACCCCTAATTCAAACAAGCTCGTATTGTGTTGGGTAATTTATACTCCCTCTATTTACTTTTACGTGTCACAGTTTGACTTGACACACCATTAAGAAAATAATTAATGATATAGGTATTTTACCAAACTAGCCCATATTAAATGATGTCTTAAAAAATGATTTGGAAAATAAGTATTTAATGTTGAGGGTAAAATATGATATGTCAAAAATGACAAGTAAAAATAAAAATATATTTTAGTAATAAATGACAAATAAAATTGAACGAAGGGAGTATTATTTTTTGGAAAAATTGTATGAAATAGCAAACTACTTCATACAATTAGCCATAGTTTATTTTATTTGTAATTCGCAGCAAATATCTCATTTTTTTGCCATTTGGTTCGGTATACAATTAGCCATTTTCCGTATACAATTACTCATTCGATATACAAATGTATAAAATGCATTTGTGTTTGTATAAAGCGGGAGAAAAGTGTATATACAAATACAAATACATATATTTTCGTCCTATACACTTATAATTATACAAATACAGATCTTATTATATAAATTACAATGTATAAATGAATTTATACAAAACTGAACAATTTGTATAAAATTGGATGTATCTAGCGAATTATACAAATCAAAAGCTCCATAGCAAACATAAAATTTGTTATGGAGCGCAATTATGCAAACTATAGCTATAACATACAAATATGATTTTTATGTTTGCTATATGTGAAAATTGCTCTTATTTTATATTTATTTATTTATGATATTTGACTTACTTTGAAAATTTTGAAGGATCAAAGCTGCTCAAAATACATTTAAAATTATTCTCTCTATTCCTATTTACTTGTTAAATATTTTTTAATTTGATTTCTCTTTTTTGATAAATCAAGAAAGAGGCAAAATATTTTTTTCTATTATACTTTTAATTTATTAATATTGAGTTAATTATTTTAAAAAATATAGTGACTATATATATTTAGGATCCTATCAATTAGTAGCGTTAAAATAGTAAACTTATTATATCTTATCATTATTTTCATAATATATCTGGGTGAATATTATTTTGGACTCAAAAGCATTTTCTCTAATTCACATTTGTACGGTTCCAGACATACGAGAACATATAAATATTTTTCAAATACAAATGAAATGAAAATCTGTTTAATTGCCGTTGTACAGTCTCGGCAATCGAAAACCCTAAACCCTCATTTCAAATTCTCCAAATTCTCTCTTCTTCTCAATTATCAATGCACTATCTACGATACCAGTTGATAATTGATTCAATTTCTCAGTGAATCATGATGGGTATTCGCAAATTTTGTAGACAACTTCACACATTGTCTCGTGAATTTGGCCCTAGCGAGACGTTGAAGAGGAAGGTTGCTGAATTGAAGGTGAAGAAGAAACGGAAAGATCCTCGGAAGAATCAGTTATTTGTTCAGGTTCCTGATTCAAGATCATTTCTTGATACTGCTACTATGCCCATGATACTCACTGTTGTTGGGACCGCACTTTTCGCAAAGCTCCTTATGATGGTATGATGCTCCATTGCTGTTTATGTAAAGTCCTATTTTAGTATTTGGATGAAATTTGAATGATTTTAAAATTGGACAAACCCCTAATATATATATTCATTTGTTGGTTGTGATTTTGGTGGATTGTAATGGTAAGTAGAGGAGAAGCTTGGGGAAATTGATACTTGACAAGGTTTAAATGTTGCTTCATAGGTGTACTACATGATGGTTTCATTAGTATTCATAATCTTAATAGGAGAACTACTTTAGTGTTGTAATGTACCAAAGAAATGGTATCTCGATATAGAACTGCTTATAGACCGTAGAATACCTTCGTTTTTCTTGGTTTGAATAAATGGCACTTATTTCTATTTACATTCATTATAATGTTAAAGGAACTTAAGTTGAATCTTGTTGATATTGATTGAGGAGGTTGATGGAATTTAGCTGACTTAATTCACAAACCCCAAAGTCTCCATCATAGGTACTTTTAAAAGTTTTTTTTTTTGGTAATTAGGATTTTATTAATCACCAAAGTAGATACTTACAAAGCTAAACCAGTCCTACTCAACTGGTTATCACAATATCTGCAGTCTGCTTACAAACTTAGAGAATTAAAACCTGGCTCGGGCAGTAGCTCTAACACAACAAACACAAGCAATTCTACGAACAATAGCCTCCATTGTAGTCTCTGTCTTCTCAAAAACTCTATTGTTCCTCTCCTTCCAGATGGCATGAATAAATTATGTGTATATTAGCTGTAGTAGTTGGGCCTGGTGGCTTTTCCCCTTAGACTTCTGGATGATCCACTGTTGCATTGCATTCCAAGTAATGGTTGGAGGATGGCTGATAGTAGTCCATTGGAGTAATCTCCTCCATAAGGAGTTGGCAAATGCACACTCATAAAATAAGTGGTCTCTTGTTTCATCTTCCTGCTTACACATAACACATTTTAGGAGTCGTTTGGTAGGATGTATTAATTAAAATAGTCCTTGGATTAAAATTTACTCCACCTAATACAATGTTTGGTTGCACAATTCAACTCAAACATACCTAATACATGGATAACTTAATACAGCATATGTGGTCTTATCTAATACCAAGGATACCTACGGATTACTAATACCATGTTTAGTAAGCCTTGGATAAGGCAACAAAATGACTGAAATGCCCCTCAATTTCTTTATACGCTCTTCAGAATTGGTAAATAAACCCACGATTTTCTGCTTTTGGCGCCTTTCCTTTTACTTTGGCGGGTTTTTTTCTTCTCTGGCGATGGAGAAGGTGTAGCAGCGTAGGGTTAATACTGAACAACATCTTCACTATTAGCCAGCTCCAACTATTTGCTTTTCTAACAAGGTTTGAACTTTTTTCTTTTCTTTTGTTCTTGTTCCCAAAATGGTTCTAAATAGGTGTATTGAGTTGTGCTTGAAAATTAAATTAGTATTTTGTGGGTTGAAACTTTTTATGTTTAAAATTTATGGATTTCTGCTCATTTTATGTGTATTGATTTTGTTTATGTCATAATACTATATATAAATGGAAGAACATGAAAATATGTCATAATACTATATATAAAATAAAAAAATCAAATTATAATTCAAGGGTATAATTGGAAATAAGCTTCTTGTAGAGTTTTAAACCACACACAAAATTAGGTGAGAAATAATGAACCAAACACTTGATAAAAAATAATCCCTGCATTACTAATCCCTGCATTGTTAATCCCTGCATTATCAATCTTTCTACCAAACGACCCCTTAGGATCTACTTGCATTATCCATTTCAGCAACCTATCTGTTGTAAGGAGTCTGTTCTGGATTTGCAGCCATAAGATTAATCCCTGCATTATCAATCTTTCTACCAAACGACCCCTTAGGATCTACTTGCATTATCCATTTCAGCAACCTATCTGTTGTAAGGAGTCTGTTCTGGATTTGCAGCCATAAGATAAAAATGGCTTTAGGTCTTGCTAAGTTGCGACATATGAGACCTCTCCAATCAACCTTTGGGTAATCACCTAGCATTTGATTATAGGCTTGCCTTTTCTTGCTTCTCTTGCCATCAATAGCATGATGCAGTACATGTAATTGATCCTTTGCTCCAAGAACTTTTCTAACCATTCAACTAGCTTGAGCAGGAACCTGAGAGCTTCCATATGGTGGCCTTTGATGTAATAACTGTGTATCCATTTGATCCAAAGTCTATCCTGCTTCTTCTCTATATCCCAACGCATCTTTAGAACTGCTGCTTTGTTCCATACCTTTAAATTCACCAAGTTTAATCCTCCAGCCACCTTTGGTGTACTCATCTTCTCCCAAGAGACTAGGGCCTTCTTAGTTATGCTGTTGAGTCCAGACCATATTAAACTCCTACATTAGGCTTGGATTGCTTTCATCACCTTAGTTGGTATCACAAAAAGTTGTGTCCAGTATGCTTGAATCCCAAAAATCACTGTCTTAACAAGCTGAACTCTCCTTGCACAGGATAGTTTTTTAGTTGTCCAGGAAGATATTTTTGCCACTATTTGATCAGTAATGGCTGCCACTGAATAAGATTGAGTTTCTTAGTGAACAAAGGTATACCAAGGTATCGAAAAGGTAAGGCCCCATGACTGTACCCCAGAGTTTGTTGGATGTGAGACATTACAGTACCAAATACTCCTCCAAAATATATAGCACTTTTAGACAAGTTAGCTTTCAATCCGGAAGCTGCTGTGAACACAGTGAACTTGTCGTGGAGTAGTTGAACTGATATTTGGTCACCTCTTGCATACATGAGGAGGTCATCTGCAAAGCTTAAATGTGTGATCATAAGCCTACTGTACATAGGGTGGTATTGAATATCTTGTGATTGGATAAGTCATTCTGGTTCCTACTTAGATATTCCATGACCATAGCAAACAAAAAGGGGGACATTGGATCCCCTTGCCGTAGTCCTCGAGCTGCCTCAAAAGGTTTTGTTAGTTCCCCATTGATCAAGAAAGAATAGGAGACAGTAGTTACACATTGCATCACCCAGCCTTTGAACTTGAGAGGAAACCCCAATGTTGACATTATTTGTTCTAAAAATTTTCAATCAATAGTATCATAAGCTTTTTGGATCTCCACCTTTATCATACATCTGGGTGAGACATTCTTCCTGTTATAGGCCTTGACTAGTTCATGTGCAAGAATAATGTTATCTGCCACTTTTCTCCCGGGTACAAATCCAGCTTGCGTTTCTGAGATCACAGTTGCTATCACCTGGTAGATTCTATTTGCCAACACTTTTGCTATGAGTTTGTATAGGACTGTACAACATGCTATGGGCCTAGACTCCCTTATATTGGAGGGATTGGGAACTTTGAGTAACAGTGTAACTGCAGTACAATTCACTGCTTTGTGTAACTTTCCAGTAAGAAAGAACTCCTTAACTGCTGCATAAACATCCTGTTTAATCACTGGCCAGGCTTTTTTGAAGAACATAACATTGTAGCCATCAACTCCTGGAGCCTTATCATCACCAATAGAACATAGTCCATCATAAATTTCCATCTCAGTAACCTCTACACACAAGGCCATTTGTTGAGAGTGATTCAGTGTTGGCCCCTGCTTCATAATACTCTTACTGACTGCAGTTGTGCTTACTTGAGCAGTTTCCATTAAAGACTTGTAAAATGTTATAATCTCATTTTGAATTGCATCCGGATCCACAATTTTTTCTCCATCCGCTGAAGTAAGCTCGACAATCTGTTTCTTTTGTCGTCTTTCTTTCAATATTGCTGTAAAATACTTAGTATTTGAGTCCCCCAATTTAATCCACATAGCTCTGGATTATTCTTTTTGGATGCTCTCCTCTATATGTCTCCATTTCTCTAGTTGGATCAAAAGATCCTTTTCTTCCAGTGCTATAGCATCAGTATACTGTGAAGAAAGTTTCAGCTGTGTGAGTTGTAATGTATTCAGGTGATGGATCTTCTCTGTAACTCCTTTGTAATTTGTATTGTTCAACTGGGTAAGATGAGGTTTCAACTCCTTCAACTTTTGCCAAACACATCTAAGTTTGCTACCTTGGAACCTACCAGTCCAGCTTCTATGCACTATTGGAAGAAATGTCTCATGTTGTGTCCACACATTAAAGAACCTGAATGGAGCTTTAATGCTGAGTGTAGTCATTTTCATCTCCAGGACCATAGGTGTGTGATCTGAAATGTGTGGCAATCTGTAATCCAGCACCAGTTGGCCATACTGTAGCATCCATTCATCATTCCCCATTTCCCTGTCCAGTCTACTAAATATTCTGGCTGATCCAAGTTGTCTGTTTGACCATGAATAAAATTCTCCTTTCCACATCACCTCATTTAATAATAGGTCTTGAACACATTCAGCAAAGTCCCTGGTTTCAACCCTTGTTACTGGGGAACCATACAATCTATCTTGACTTTGTAGAAGAGCGTTGAAGTCTCCCCATACAATCCAAGGTTTATTGCATTGAGTCGCTACTTTTAAAAGTTTATTCTACAGGTAGGGATGTGTTGGACTTGAGGTGAACACTAAGATATTTTTAATTCTTCGGTGTAGTAAACTTGCTTGTATGTTTTACAATCTATAAATCAGCTGAGTAGCTTATAAGTTTCAGTTGTGTTTGCATGCAGTATGATGACTCAAAGTCGCAAGATATGATTGAGCGAAAAATAAAGAATGCGCCTGCTGGTCAAGGAACAGTTAGGATGCTTACCCGCGAAGAATGGGAATCAGTTCAGGAAGTGCGACCAAGGACTCCGTTTGAATCTAAACTAGCCCGTCCAAATGCAAAGCTTAGGACAGGGGAGCCTTTGAAGATGGTAAATGCATTACTTCTTTAACCTTTCATTCATCTGGTGATAGGTATTTTTCCTGCTAACATTCTAGAGAACAAACAAAGTGGGTTAGAAAGCTTCCTATAGTTGTAAAACATTCAGGCTACTAGTGGGAATGCTTTTTAGCAGAATATCAATAATGACTAAAATGATGTTGTAGAGTCTAGATGTTTATCAGTATGGTCACATTGTTTGCCTGTTGGCCTAGAACTAGGCATGCCAACCTTAGTGCAAAATGAAGGTGTTAGATAGCTAGTAAAGTTTCTATACTAGTGATATTCTAGTTTTCGAATGGGTTAGATGCAAGATCTTTTGCTTTTCACATAAAGTAAGTGTGTATTGTATTAATTATCGTAAAGTAGTTAATACATATTTTCTCTCCTCTTAGTTCCTCACATGCTATCAGAATCTTCTATGATCTTAGTAGAATCTAAATTACCCTCATTCCAATGGGCATCACTCTTATTTACCGTACCCATTTCGTAATATCATGCCTAATATCAGTGATTGTTGTGATGGCACCGTGCCTATTCTTGGTGATCGTTATGTAGCATTGAGCGTGTTTCTGGAAACCTTTTCAGTACCTAAATCACTCTAAATTACCCTCATTCCAATGGGCATCACTCTTATTTACCGTACCTCACATTTTTTCCGTGGCTTTTTTGGTGGTTTGGCGCATCTTTCCAGCAACACCACACGCCTTTTTGGTGACCATTCCTGCAGTTACCTGCATTTATTTTCTTCAGCAGTTATTCTGGCAGCACGAATGTTTGTCCACTGTTCCTGCAACTACAATGACAATCTCCTAGCAGTCAGAACTAATCTTTTCCCATGACTTTTTGGGTGCTGTACAACAAATTTAATCCATTTCTCTTCTTTTCATTAGCTGCAGACCTATCATTTAAGTTATTGTTTCAAGAAAATGAAATCGAGCACTTTTTGGTATTAGCTGGTCCATGCCCTTAAATATCAGAGATGCCTACACTAGTTGGAGCTCTATGGAAGTTAGAAAATCTATCAGGAAAATCTGGATCATGATTCATGACCCCAGCTTGTATTTTTTTGCCTTCAATATCAGAGATGCCTACACTAGTCGGAGCTCTATGGAAGTTAGAAAATCTATCAGGAAAATCTGGACCATGATTCATGACCCCAGCTTGTATTTTTTGGGTTATTTGGAATGGAAGAAACAATAGATTTTTCGATGGAGTTTTAACTCCAATTTGTAAGCTTAAGGCTAGTTGTTTGGTTAACCTTTTTAGTTGGGCCAACTTTTCCCCTGTGAATAACTTACATCACTGCCTGGATTTACCTCTAATTCTGCTTCTGCCATTTATGCATGTTTTGTTAACACATCTGATTTTTGTAATTGTTGTTTCTTTGCTTGTAATATGTTTAGTATAGTTGATAATCCTTGGATCATAGACTTAAGTGCTAATCATAATCATGTAACTCCAGTAAAATCTTGTCCCACAAACATCACTCTTCTTTCAGTTCCTTACTGTATCACCTTGCCAAATGGCTACATCACTTGAATGGAACACTAATGTTGACACTTTATTTTGACCTTGGTCAAACTTAAACATTAGATATATTTATCTTGAGATATAGGTTCACTAGCTTTCGCAAACGCAGCCTGGAGTCTGCGAACGTGAAGGGCAATTTTGCCTGCACCAACTGATGCACATCAATTATTGTGCCCCAACTTTGAAATTTTCGACGGGGTGCTCAGGATTCGCTCAGAACCCTGTACACACAAACGTTATATGCTATCCCAACAAATTTGACATTTCGAACTCAGCATAGATGTTGAAACTTCTAACCAAGGTCATCTCGACAAAAAGTGAGTCAATACCCAAGCTCCATTTTAAGCCAAATTCTATAAGGGGCTCAGAATGAGCCAGAAGTCTCGGGATCCACACGAAAGATCCTTCAAGATTAAAATCGATGTTCTGGAGCTAATGAAACCATTTACATTTTGAGGCCGTCTTCCTGAACTTTTGACCGAAGTCAATCGTTCAAGTTTTAAATGCTCCAAAACACGGAAACTTGCACAAAACACAAACGAATGGCCAGACCATCAAACTGTCAGTCCCAACAAATCATAAATTAATTGTGGTCGCTACGTGAAAGCTCTAAACGTTGAAAAGATCAGAAAATAACATAAATGATCTGAGTCTTTACACCCTTCCTCGAGATGTGGAATGGGAACACTTTCATAGATATATTTGTCACTTTCTTGATATGACCATAAGAGAAGACAAAAGTGTGAATATATAGGGTTAGAGAGGGGATCTAGTTGTAATTAGTGAAACCCAATGGGTCATCCCAGTATGGATCTTATTGGGTTAAGCCTACAATGCCATCTCACAAGATCCACCAAAAACATACAGTGCACAACTTAATATCAATTATCACACTATAATTAGACTTACATTGATGGACTACCATATAATTAAAATATAAATTAAATATTAAAATAATATAAAGTCAGTTTACAAAAAATACATATTCGACAACTTAAAACACCTAAACATAAATTTAAAATGCTTCAAACAACAACTTTAGAATAAAAATACATTGAGATTTCATCAAATTCCATCGAAACTTCAAAAATTAAAAAGAATATCAAGTGGATTTATTCTTATGGATCCTAAATTTTGAAAATACGATTTTCTCTCAATTTTAAGAGTTAGAAAATGAGTGACTTATCAAATCAAAGCACTCAACAAGAGGAAAAAAGTTACAAGGTTGCAACCTTATTTTGTAAAAATTTCAACAACCAATTTTGGAATTATAAAATCATAATTTCTAGTAATAAAATTTTGATATTAAATTATGCTTTTTAGGCTCTGATACCACATGTTATATTTTTAATAGAATAAACTTTAAGATCAAACGTGATAATATGACAAAAAATAGGTAAAATAAACTGGATCATGAGATATACTTATTTAGTTCTAATGAATTATAGGATGAACTCGATTTTCTTCTCTATTACCCTATAAGATAACTATCACACACTTACACACACCATCTCACTAGACTTATCAAGCACATAAAGTGCACGACTCAAAATCAAATATAACATTGTCTCTCATATAAAGAAAAAAAACATGTTGTAAAACTATGTGGATGACCATGTGACCATTCATTGTACCTAACTATTATGCTCAAGTAATAAGGCCAACACACAATAGCATGTTTTTATGCCCAAGTAACTTAAATTCATGAGGCTTATAAATAGTCTATTAGTTACTCATCTTAAGTACGAGAAAAACATAAAAGTGAAAACAAAGTTACTTACTACTACTCTCTCTTCTTTTCTTCTTATCATTTTATTTTATCACATATTCTTTATTTTATAACACGTTATCAACACAAATTTTCTCATTCTTGATCAAGAATCGATGGTATGCTTTTGATGACCAGTAAGTCTATATTAATTTTTCTTCACATGTAGTGATAAATATATTATGTTGGTTAAAAAAATGGTTTTTGTTCTCTGTGAACTTTGTTTTTGTTTTGTAATAAATGGTGGCCTTTGCCACGTTTAGTTAAAAAAAATTATGTTGGTTGATCTACATGTTTAGTCTACTTCTTCATATGTTTCTACTTGAAGCAAATGTTTCACTACATACTTTTTACCTAATACTAGTTTTGAGACACGTGCATTGCACTTGAATATCAAATCATGTACTACACTATTTTTTAAAAATAATGTCAATATTATTAAATTAATACTTTAAGTAAATAAGTATAAATGAAATTATAAAGCATAAGTTCCTATGAATAGTGGATATGAATTTTCTTATGCTTACTACTGAAATTGTCAAATCAATAAAGCTAGATATACATAAGGTAATGTGACACATCTCTATGGCCTCCAATTAGATTTATCTTTTTCCTTCTTTTTTTAGATTTTTTTCTCATTTTGAAATTAATTGTGATATGTAAAAATAAAAATTTCACTCTTAAAATCTCTTAGTTACAACTATTAAATATAGTTTTTCCTCCCTCCCTATAGTGCATTACTTAGTTATTATTGTATTGTTGGAGTTCATACTTTTAATATTATATAAATAAATAAATATTGCTATAAAATATAGAAGATAAACTACATTAGATGTTTTTAGTTGGAGTATTATACTAATTTAAAATTGAAGTTATGGAGTGTTCAAATTCCACTAAACTTTGAGATTCTCAATATCTGTAAATCACACTTGAGTTTTTAAGAAGAGAAGAAGAATAGAAAACTTAAAAAACTCATAGTTTAGAAATGTGAGGAAACCCCTCAATTTATAGTTAACAGAGGGTAGTATGAACATGTACTTATTGTGTTTAATCACAAAAGTCATAACCCTTTAAAAAAGTCACAACCCTTCGAAAAGATCACAATTCATCGGAAAAGTCACATCTTTTAAAAGTCATAACCATTCAATGCGAAAAGGTGTGTGCTTTTAAATAAAATATAATATAAAATATAGAAAGATATGCCAAATTGAGTGTTTGAAGAAGAAGAACAATAGAAAACTTTAAAAGTTTGTAGTTTAAAAATGTGAGAAAACCCTTTTTTATTATAACCAATAGAAGGTAGTACGAAAAAATGGTTATTGTGTCTTGTCAAAAAAGTTACAACCCTTTAAAAAAGTCACAACACTTCGAAAATGTCATAACTCGTTAGAAAAGTCATAACTCTTTGGAAAAGTCACATCCCTTTAGAAAAGTCACAACCCTTCGAATAGGTTATAACTCATCAAAAAAGTTATAACTCTTTGGAAAAGTCACGACCCTTCAATGTGAATAGATGTCTCCTTTTAATATCTACTGGATGCCTTAATGAAATCTCACTTCATAAAATATATAAAATAAAATGAAATCTTGTGATTCATTGGAGTGTAATCCCATCATTGTAGTCAAGGGAAGGTAGAGTTTGCGCCGACCTTACCCCTACCTAAGAGGTAGTGAGGTTGCTTCTGATAGACCCTTGGCTCAAGGAAAAACAGTCCAAAAAAAGAAGTAATGGAAGTACAAATAGTAACAGAAATCAAAGGACAAGAAACTATAGGAGCAATACTATGACTACTAACTAGTATGGACGGATATTGAGACGACACACTCTATTATAAGATTCTTGTTTCACTTTATGTTTTATTCCCATATTCGCCTCTATATTCCTGTTAATTGTATACCTTCCATTTATTATTTGCACTACCTTTTAGGATCCTATCAGTACTTCGCCTCCATCTCCTTCTGCAAACAGCTTACTCTTGACTAGTCATAGTCGTTACTGACGCAACATTTTCAATGGTTCATGCCTGCACCAAATCCTTCTTTTATCGTGGTATCTGCTTCCTCCCGATATTTCCTTGTGGCTTTCCATAGTGGGCTTCTCTCAATTTTACTCCAACCCATCTAGACCTTATCCTTGTTTGGCGTAACCCCATTATTCCTTTCTGTTGCCCTGTTATTTGCTTCTATCAGTGAATTTACAGGTGAAGCCCTTTGTCACTATTATTGTGAATGTGCACTTACACTGGTATTTATGACAAGATCAAAATCTGAAACTGTGTTAGTGCTTTTGTAAGGTCTCTTGCTAATTGTAATAGAGCTATCATGAGGTCTTTTGCATAGATAGATCCGAGGGATCCAGATAAAATTTTAACTAAATCCTTGAGTCCTCTTGTAGTTTATAGTTGGTACGAGAAGAGGTAGAGGTAGGTCAAAGATGTATTGGGGACAGGTGATTAGACAGAACATGACACAACTTCAGGTTACCAAAGACATGACCTTAGATAGGAGGGTGTGGAGGCAGTGGCGCACACAAGAAATTTTCTAAGTGTCTCCATTAAAAGGACAAGAATGGCTCAAGCGGAAAATCAATGAAGCTTTTGCTTTAGACCTCCAAAAATTTGAGGCCCCATAAATAGTGAACTTTATGAAAAAATATTTTATTGGAAATTAGTGATAATCGAAATTAACTGAAACGATAATTGATAAAAATTCTCATATTCTCATAAAGAAGGATTGATTATCGACAAATTGTGTTAAAAATGGTTAACAGAAACAAAAGAAGCCAGGAATCTTGTGTGAGCTTGACATGGAGAAGGCATATGATCATGTAAATTGGGAATACTTGTTGAACACTCTGGAGAGGATGGGTTTTGGAAGGAAGTGGATCAAGCAATGCATCTCCACAGTGAGGTTTTCAGTCCTCATTAATGGATCCCCTGCTGGATTCTTCAGTGCACAGAGGGGACTTAGACAAGGAGACCCCCTATCTCCTTTCTGTTTTTAATTGTTATGGAGGGTCTGAATAGCATGATTAAAACTGCAAAGTTTAGGGGATGGTTGAGTGGTTTTGAGGTTGGCAAAAATGGAGATAACAGTATGGAAGTGACTCATCTGCAATATGCAGATGATACTCTTATTATTCTATGTGACGCTGAAGAAGGCCAACTCAAGATTTTAAGGGTGATTTTGGTGCTTTTTGAAGGGTTCTCAGGTCTGCATATCAATTGGAGGAAAAACTATATGTACCCTATCAATGAAGTGCAAAACATGGAGTATCTAAATGCAATATTGGGTGGGGAAATAGGTGTTTTGCCAACAACATATTTAGGGATACCTCTTGGAGCTAGTTCTCAGTCTTATGAGATCTGGAACAAGGTGGTAGAAAAGTGTGAGATGAAGTTAGCAAGGTGGAAATCACAATATCTGTCCAGAGGTGGGATACTTTGATAAATTCTGTCCTTGATGCCCTCCCAACTTATATGATGTCAGTGTTTCCAATTCCTCGGACAGTCATTGACAGATTGGACAAAATTAGAAGAAAGTTTTTGTGGCAGGGAAATAATGAGAAAAAGAGTTATAACCTGGTCAAATGGGATGTTGTAACAGTGGGTAAGAGACAAGGGGGATTGGGTATTAAAGAACTTGAAAAATCAGAGCTAGGCTCTCAGAATGAAATGGCTGTGGAGGTTTTGCAATGAAAATCAATCCTACTGGAAGGAAGTCATTAGTGCAAAGTATGAAGGGGAAGATTACTGGATGACCAAAGCTGTTACTACTGTTATTGATGCGTTTGTCGGGAAACAATATAACAGACGCAAGAATGATTAATATTTCTGAATTATTGTTTTAGTTGTTTTAGTCGAACATAACTTCCTGAGTGGATTAGGATTCTTATTATTTTAGTTTTATAGGACTTTGTTATTTCTAATTTATTAGGACTCTTGCTATTGTAAACCTCTATTTAAGAGAGTTGACATTATTAATAAAATAAGTTGGATTTTATCAAGTTTCAGAGATTTGGAACTTTCTCAAACAAGTTCCCAGGTCTGCAATTCCCTGAATGAATGGCAAATTTCAGCAATCATAGGCAAGTCAAGGAACAAGAACAGGGGCTTAGACCTGTCTACTGGACCTGACTTAAAAAAATACAAGGATCAAAGTGGCAAATGGGGAAAGAACTGACTTCTGGATGGATGTATGGCATGAGGCTGGCAGGCTAGAAAATTTGTTTCCAGATATTAGTACCTTAGTGTCACACCAACACAAGTCCATAGCTGATCACTGGTCTCCTCAAGGGTGGAACTTCATTTTTAGAAGACACTTGAATGATTGGGAGATTCAGAGAGTTGCTGATTTTTACAACACCATTGGTCCACTCAATGGATTGGAGGATGGTCAGGATACTTTATGGTGGAAGGGAAACAAAAAAAGGTATTTTCAAGGTGAATTGTGCTTATAACTGTTTGAACAACTCCTACCAGTTGACAAGTAACTGGCCTTGGAAAGGAATCTGGAAATCCAAAATACCCCTCAAAGTATCATGTTTTGTGTGGTTATTGGCCAAGGAAGCAGTTCTGACCCAAGACAACCTAATGAAGAGAGGGATTCCATTGTGCTCAAGGTACCTATTTTGTGGGGAAACTGCTGAGACAGTGAACCATCTTTTTCTACACTGTAGAGTAACTAGCCAGCTTTGGAGACTATTCCTAAATCTCAAGGGCATGTCATGGGTCATGCCAAGCAAGATCACTGAAGCCATTCAGAGTTGGGAAGAAGCTGGAATGCAGTCTAAGAGCAGAGAGATGGAGAATTGTCCCTGCTAGTATTTGGTGGGCAATATGGAAGGAGAGGAATTCTAGATGTTTTGATAGTATAGAAAACAGTATGCAAAAAGTCAAGCTTAATTGCTTGTTGCTACTGTGTTTTTGGTGTAATCAATTATACTCCAATGACACTATCTCCCTAATTGATGTACTAGACTCAATTTAGGATCAGATAGCTGGATTTGATGATCTTATTGTAAATATGGCTCAGTACTGCCCAAGTACTGTTGTAGTAATATACAAAGTTACCTGTTTCAAAAAATGTACTTTGTGCAATTCAACAAATAAGAAGCCTAAAAGTAATAACTTTGAAAAATATTAGTTCAAAATTGGGTGTCAACAATCTACACATAGTATCATGCATTTAACATGAAATCAAGCACAAGTCAAGTTTGAACTTATTCAAAATTGAACTTCTTGGTATTTGACATCCCATTTCGTTCTTGGTATTTGCATCCCATTCCTTGGGTGCCAAGGGCATGACTTAGTGTCAACGAAGTGGTTGAGAACCATGAGGTCTCAAGTTTAATTCCTAGTGGAGGCAAAAAAAAACACTAGGTGGTTTCTTCACATCTGTCCAACCCTTGGTGGATAGAGTTACCCGTTACTTGTGTTGGTGGGAGGTAGTAGGTACCTCATGGAATTATTGAGGTGTGACCAAATAGGTCCGGACACTACGGTTATCAAAAAAAGAAATTGCCTTTTTTGTGGATTTTGTATTCTTATTCTCATGGACCGACATGAGGAAACTTTGTCCTGAGTTTTCTTTGTAAATTGAACTTGCCTTGTTCATTTCGATGCCCTAAAATTTTTTCCTTTTCCTTCTCTCCAGTTAAGAATGTCAATATTATGAAATACTAAATATTGCAAGAATAGGTACCTTGTAATATGGGAAAGATTTGTAGTCCATGTAATTGTGTAATTAGGAACAGGAAATAGTTTCTTTTCCTTTTCTGTATTACTTGTAAATGCTTATTTAAATCTCAACATGCTTGAGGAATCAAGAAATTCATTCTCCTTTCCTTTACATGATGTCGGAGCCGAGGGTTCGGGTCCCCGGACTGTTAAAAAGTTATTCCCTATTTTGTTCCCAAAAAGAAAGAGAGTGAGGAAGAAAGGAAGTTGCAAATCTGGTTCATTGACAGGAGAGTACCTGACAAGTTTCTAGTCTCACGTCCCTCATTGAAAGGCTTCCCAGTCTCCAGCAACCCCAACCCCAAAACCCTGGCACTGGAAGCCATGAGTTTGTGTCTTACGTGCCATCCATCATCTTCGGCAGAGTTTCATCCACAGGCTCATGGGTCTTTTTCAACCTTCCTACCGCGATCACTCTATCAAGGTCAACCAAGTCCCCTGCTTCATCTTCTCTTTCACTTTCTATCGGGTTCGATTTTCTTTCCCAAACCACTTTACTGTTGTTGACCCGACCTTGAGTTTTTTCTCCCATATGATGAATTGCTTCTTTCCTTTCTAACTTCTTATCCTTGCTGTTCAGATCTTCCTTCTAGTTTGTCATATTCACAATTTCCTAATATTGACACGTTTGATGTCTCCAACTCTCGCATAATATGTTAGGACAAGTGCATTCTTTTGGTATGTTTTATTTGGAAACCAGTTCCTGAGATCATGCAATATCATCGTGTCTTAAACGTCTTAGTTATCTTATAAAGTGGTAATGTACCATTTATGCTTATCTTCTTCTGATACCTTAACTATTTCCCTCAATATTCTTCCTGGTTCAGCTGCATTACAAAATTTGAATGACTATGTTGTTTCATCTGATTGCTTATATGCAGGAAGATGTCAAGGATTGGACAATAGATGTTATAACTGACGCACTTACACGAGCTGAAGAATGTGCTAAACGAGGATCGAACTAAGCTTTTAAGTCGATAATAGTGGTAAGCTAGTTTAACAACAACTGCTTCTTATGTACCAGAAAGGCTCTACAACCTCAGTTGCCCATTACAACATACAATCCTTCTACTATCAGAAGTGGAGAAATGCTGCCTTTACAATGAATTAAAGTGTGTGTGTATATACATATATATATACTTTAATTCACAAAGATAATATTTTCATTGAAATTAGAGACTGTATGGGATGAATTTTTCAATAAAAAAAGAGAGATTTTTTATGGTAACTTTCTTCTTTAAAATGTGCTTGATAAACTCTTGTGTTATCGTTATCTCGATTTGTGCTTCAGCACGTGAGTCTTTAATTTGTACATATGATCAATAGTTTGAAAAATAAGCAAGTCTTGAAAACTAACGTCTTTCAATTTTTTGAGTATTTGTCTTCACCTAATTAATTGAGTAATAATTTAGGCATTTTAGACTTCTAAATTAAGATAAACTAAAAATTAATGAGAGTTTCTTTCTTTTAAAAAGAAAAAGAAAAAAAATCAGTGTTTTTGGCCAAAAGAGATGTCACATAGCTTGTATATTGAGATAGTTCAATTGATTAATAGATTCAAAAATTATATTATAAGAAAAATATACTTCGCAGAAGTAGATGATAAACATTTTTTTTTATTAAAATGACTTTAATATCCTTAAAGTATTTTTACACAAAAAAAAAGGATTAATAAGTAGTAAAAAAGTAGAGATAATTAAAGATTACTATGTCATAAGAAAAGTATTTCAAAGATTATAAAAATATTAAGGACATAATTATAAAAAGTTTGGTTAAATTGAAAATATTTTTATAAGTTGTAATTCATAAATTGGGGTCAATTTATGGCTTTCGACTAATTTTGACTTATAAACATTTGATTAATAAAAAAAAAATACTTTGATGAACTTATAAGTTTAGTCAATCACTTTTTTATTACATGACCAATCAAATATTGCATTGATGCAACCAACCAAACACTAAAATTATTTATGCTAATTATTATGTTAGAATAATTATGCCAATACAATCCATCAATCGACCCCTTCATGTAGTGCCACATTGTAATAGAGTGCAATTACATAATTTTAAATTATTTGTCTGATCAGATAATTGATTGGTCAATGCAAGATTGAACCTAATAAAGGTAGAACAATTACATCATGTAATATTGGTAAATAGCCATTTTTTATACTTGCTATTAAATATTAATCACTATTTTAAAACTTGTTAGTAGTAACATTTAGCCACTCTTTTGACATGAAAGTTTTTTTGAACAAAATATCCTCAATCAACCAATGCTAATTTTTGAAGTTTTGACATGTGGAACTCTAGCACACCACACTATGCTAAAGTCAAAATTTCTAAATTGCAACTCTGATAAACTTTATCATTTTGTGTTCCACTTCGATAAGCTTCATTTCTCTGACCCTATATTTTATATATTTTTGTATATGTTTCATTGGATAGATTTGTTTTATATAAGTAGAAACAATAGTGGAGTTCCTTCGTGAACTATTATCGAAAAAATGGCTATAAGTGTTTGTAAAGTATCATTTTTAGTCACTCTAAAAAAATTTCATATAAAATTTAAATTCTAAAAAGAAAATAAAATAAAAGATAAAAAGATTTTTTTTAGTAGATGAATATAAAAATGTTGTGACCAATTATATATCATATGATGTGATATTAATTTTTCTAACGTGGATATGATGTGTAATTCATGTCAGAGCATGTGAGAATCACACAATATTAGAAATGCTTAAAATTCTTATTTTAAATGAATTCAAATATCTAATTGAAACTTTGCGGAGTAAAAAAATTCAGTTGATCAATCATTTAAAATAGATGAGGTAAATTAATGAGCTCATATATAATAGGGAAAAGGGTCAAAAATACCCTTAAACTTTAGTTTATTAGTTGACTATACCCCTGCCGTTAAAACGAAGTTAGTTTTGCCCCTGCCGTTACTAATTTCACCATATATACCCCTCATTTGACGGAAAGCCCCAAATGAATTCAAATCGACCCAAATTTTAAAAAAAAAACCCATTTCCCATTTTAAACCCAATGCCCCGACCCATCTATCTTTTAACCCGTATAAACCATTCAATTACTGTTGTATGCATCTGCTTTGCAGCTTTGCTTGTTTGTTTCATTGTTGGACCGCATTTCCAGATTAAAAGACCAAAATGAATTATAGTATAATACTTAAGCTTCACACTCCAAAAATAAGTTACTAAATGAGAATTGGTAAATGGAAATGGGTAAAAGGGAATGGGTTCTATCTCCGCTCTCGGGAAAAATCCGCCTCCGCCGTGAACCACCGTACAAACTCTCCCAAATCACCGGGAAATCCAAAGCCATCGATCACCAAAACAATCACAAAAGATGCAAGAAAATCACATGAGTCATCACTGAAACTGACGAAATCGCACTCCTCAAAACCCTTTCACAATCCCCAAACAACAACGACCTCCGTACCGGAAACTTCACCTATGCGCAGATCACGTATAAACTGAAGAAACTGAAAGAGAAGTACCACAAGTTCGCTAGATCCAAATCCCAAATCAAAACTCCACACGACCGCGAGATTTAAGAAAATTGGGCGAAAGATTTGGGGTCGAAATGCAGCTCTAAGGGAAAGGAATTATTAGTAGTAGAAGAAGAAGATCATGATGAAGATGATATGAATTTGGAGGATTTTTCATTTTTGGTGATGAAATGACGACGGATTTTCAGAGAAATGAGTATTGTATAGAAGGTTAAGGAGATTGGGGAAGAAGAAATTGATGGAGATGAATGAGAAATGGATGGATAAATGGGAACGGGTTATACGAGTTAAAAGATAGAGGGGTCGGGGCATTAGATTTAAAATGGGAAATGGGTCTTTTTTTTGAAATTCGGGTTAATTTGAATTAATTTGGAGCTTTCCGTCAAATGAGGGATATATATGGTGAAATTAGTAACAGCAGGGAAAAAACTAACTTCGTTTTAACGGCAGGGGTATAGTCAACTAATAAACTAAAGTTGAGGGGTATTTTTGACCTTTTTTCCTATATAATATATTAATAAACTCTACGGAAGAGTTCAGAACCAAATATAGAAGTCACCCATATCATTCCACTTGTTTTTTTTAAAACGTATGTATTCAATAATACTACTATTACTAGTACTACTTATAAATATGAGTAGTATTTAATATTTGGCAATACACATACTTTTCACACTTTAAAATTTATCCAAAGGTCTTTTTTTTTATAATTAACTTTCATATAACCAATTACTATGGTAGTAAAGCGATAAGTATTCCTTCTATTTTTAATCAAGAGGTCTCAAAATCGAGTTCTTTTAGGTAAGAAACCATTTTTATTAGAAAATGTTTTATCTCTAATTTAAAAAGCGAATCTAAATTTAGTCGGACTGCGATTTGACTATTGGTTGGGTTTCAAATACGCCCATTTTACTGGTAAGCAGATGAGAGATTCGGAGTAGTTGAGTACCATACTCTCTCCTTATGTAGCTAAGTTTACTCACACTTCCAGCCTCTACAGTCTACACAACCGTTGAGCAAATATCCTTTTCCACTCTTCTTTAGCTCTCCTCTCTCTCTCTCTCTCTTTCTGTTCCCTGTTTCTTTTTCTGCTGATGGAAGAACTCTACTGTCATCTCAGTTAACGACCAAGACTTCATTTTTATTAACTTTCTGTATTCGGGTGGCAAGCTATTCTGGATCTGTTCTTGACCCTTTTTGTTTAAGCTGATTTTAGTGGCTAGAAGGTATATATTCGAGGTAAACAAATCTGGGTCGACGTGTTCTTGAAGTTTCATCTCATGGTTTGACTGCTTTTTTTTTTGCTCCAGTAAGTCATTTGGTGAGTACCCATATATCAGTTTCTTGGTATTTCCCACTGTGTCTTTTGGATTTTATAAGAGTTGTTGAATTTGATGGTGATTTCTGTTCTAATCTTTTGGATCTAATTTCTCTTTTGTTAGTTTGGATTTGCATGTTTGTGTTGATGTTCAATGAGATCTCCTTTGTGACTGTAAAGTGATTCACTTAACTCAAATCTTTCTAAAAGAGTGTAAAGGGTGTCTTGCTTTCTTGATTTTGCTTCCAATGGGGATGTAGGGTACTGTTACTTGTTGATTAGCAGTATATGTCTTTCAGTGAGTCTTCAGTTTACAAATGGAGGATATGTTTACCAGATGTAGAAATTGAGGCTTCTGTGGCTTTGTTTGCAATAGTTTAGATTTTGATTCAGACTCTTGAATTAGTAGGACTGACGACCTTCGTTCCCTTGCTCTCTCTCAGATCTTCGCAGGATGATAAAGAACCCCTTTTGAATTGTTTTTATATCTTTTTGTGCTTAGGAATGGGGATTTGATCTTCTCGTGTTCGTGGTTGTATGAACAAGATTGATGTTAAAGGTTGCGCTTTTGGGTTTTGAATTGGGTACTATTATATTTGACTTTGTTATCTTACAGTCTTACAATTGCAGATTCCAGTAGAATATTGAAAATCAACACAACATGTGAGTGTTCCCATTTGGGACTTCCTTTTGGACATGAATTTGTACCTCTTATCCCCAATCAACCTGTCTGTAAGCGGTTTTGGCTTGTTACTACAAAAATGCTTGAAAGAGAAGTTGCTGCAACCGTGCAAGCAAATTCATGCATTAATGTTAACATCACACACTGACATGAATGCTTTGTCGTTGAATTCAAAGCTCATTGGTGCCTATGCAAGTTGTGGGGATCTAGGTTCTGCTGAGCTTGTGTTCCAAAGAACAACAAACCTGAATATTTTTGCGTTCAATTGGATGATTTCAGCTTTAGCATTCCATGGCTACCCTGAGAAATCCATTGAATACTTCTCTCTTCTTCAACAATCAAGAACTATTCCAAACAAGTACACATTTGCTGTTGTGTTAAAAGCGTGTGTTGGTCTAATGGATCTGAACAAAGGAAAGGAAGTGCAAAGTATGATATATAGAATGGGATTTGAGTCAGAGCTATCGGTTGCCAATGCCTTGATTGATATGTATGGTAAATGTGGCAATACGGAATATGCTCGTTTAGTTTTTAATGTAATGGTCGAGAGAGATATTGTATCCTGGACATCAATGATATATTCATATGCTAACGTGGGGAAAATTGAAGAATCCTTTATTTTGTTTGAAAAAATGAGGTTAGAAGGCATAAAGCCTAATGATTTTACATGGAATGTAATGATCGCTGGATATGCTAGGAGAGGAGACTGTGACACAGCTTTTATGTTACTCTCTAAAATGAGTGAAGAGGGGTTGACTCCAGATTTGGTTACCTGGAATGCAATGGTTTCAGGGTATGTTCAGAGCCACAGATCAACTGAAGCTCTAGCATTATTGCAGGATATGTTGGATGCTGGAGTGAAGCCTAATGAAGTCACGCTCACTGGGCTTCTTCCCGTCTGTGGGTTGATTGACTCTGCGTATACAGGGAAAGAAATTCATGGCTTAGCATATAGATTAGAGCTTTTTGCTAATGTCTTTGTTGCTAGTGCTCTCATTGACATGTACAGTAGATGTGGGAGTGTAGAAGATGCTTGGAATGTTTTCAGTTCTGTTCCTTTCAAGAATGTTGCATCATGGAATGCTATGATAGGTTGTTATGGGAAGCATGGCAGAGTAGAAAATGCAATCAAACTTTTTGAGAAGATGCAGTATGAAGGAGTGCTGCCAAATGAAGTAACCTTAACTTCTCTTCTTTCTGCATGTAGTCATGGTGGTTTAGTTGAGAAGGGTTTGAAGATCTTTTGGTCCATGGAGGAGTCTTATGGCATTAGAGCAAGGAAAGAGCATTATGCTTGTGTTATTGATCTTTTGTGTCGTGTCGGGAGGCTGGAGGAGGCTTACGATATAGTCAAAGATATGGCAATAGAAGTTACAGATTCAATTATTGGTGCTTTCTTCAGTGGCTGTAAGGTCTATGCAAGGAGAGATCTTGCTGAAAAGATGGCTAAGGATATATTGCAGATGGATCTGAAGAAGCCTGAAGGTCTTGTAGCCCTTTCAAACATTTATGCTGCTGAGGGAGAGTGGGAGAATGTTGAGAATGTGAGGAACATGATGAAGCACAAGGGATTCAATAAGATGCCTGGTTCCAGTTGGTTGTAGAGGATAGGAATAGCATGATACACAGAAATAGATCTAGGAATGTGAAGTAACATTGGCTTTTAAACTATTAGATAATGGTAAGAACGTATAAGATATACTTTCTTTGCTTTTTGCAATAGTGTTGAAAATGATTAATCAAGGTCTCACTTCCTTTTCAAAAGAACCTATGTTTTGGGAATGAGAAATGTCGTTTACATGATATAAATATACTTCCGCACTTACCTAAATGATCTGAGTTCTCTGCGTTGTGCCTTTACCCTTCACAAGTTGGAAATCTTGCTTATCTTGATGGTAGTTTCAGCTGCATTGAGTGCAAATCTGAGAATTCTTCATCCATGCCCAAATAAAATAGAGAACCTTTGTTTTTAAAAACAAGTGGATTGGGGCAGTCGTACTTGAATTTCTTCCTTATTTTGTGCTCCTTGGCTCATATTGCCTGAAAAAAGAAGAAATTCTTTGAAAAGTGTACTCTTTCACTTTGAAGTGACCTTTTAGTTTGGTCACCTTAAGTTATGATATTACACTATGAAGTCCAATTTTCGGGATTGAGTTTAGTTTGACCGATTGACTCTGTGAAGTCCACAACTCAATAAGTTAGTATTTTACTGGTTGTTAGGTTTGGTTGTTTCTTTGTTTCATTTTTCTCTCTTTCTTTTCTTGGATGCAATCTTGTCCTCAGAACTAGCTGTACATGTTGTTGTAGTAGTTGTGGAATAAGCTTATACTGTTGAAGTATGTCTCATCTATAAGCTAAAAGCTAAGTTGTTAGAGAAGGCATACTTTTAATTATTTTATTATATCATATCTCAATACGCCCCCTTACGTGCAGGCCTGATTATTTTTCTTGTTCTTGGGCTAAATACGTGAAAATTCCTTACACTATGTTGAAATGTGTGACTATCTCACTGTTAGACTGAACACATTTTTAATTATTTGATCATATTATATCTCAATAAATACACTGAGCAGTTTATTTCAGTGTGTTACTAATTTCGGTTGGAGCCACAAACTGATTAGGACTCTTAAAAACTAATTGGTGTTCTAAATACTTTTGTTGCAAAGTCCAATTCAACTGTCTAACCTTTTATTGTTTTCTCTCAACCTTGTCGTAGTATCTGTTTTGGGAACTGGATTATTCATATGTTTTTCACCCTTGACCAGCGAGTCTTGTTACCCCAGTCCCCAAGAGGTTCGACTTTTTTACACTGATAAAAAAAATAATGTCAAACAACTTTCTTGTCTTCTCTTTCCAAGATAATGCTATGCTGGAATGGACACAAGGATTGTTATAATAGTAGTTTTGGTTTAACTGTGTTGTTTCCTAGAAAGGATGTGGGAGACTGAAGAGAATTTGATTGGATTACTTTCTCTAGGTGTGTATTAATACTTACAAACAGTTACATTAAAATACTTGCATCCAGTTGCTTAGTACAAGTTAAATGAAAGTAAAGCTATTGTACTTCCTCCTCTCTGTAATGAAAAATCTGAATTGGAGGACTTGGATTCCTCTGTCACTTCCTTAAAAATGAGGGTTACAATCTGTACATTCCCCTTTTACTTCCACTCGTGCACCCATTCCTCCTTTCACCCCCATCAAACATTCCTCCACTTGCCTTGTGAACCTGTCCGTGTGTAGATTAAATGTGTTTAACATGGAATGTAAAGTAGCACTAAGTTGATTTCTACACAATGTTATGACCTGTAATATTGGTTATCATAGTTTCTTAAATTTATGCACAAGTAAGGGCCTTGCATATTTGCATTTGCCTACTTTTAAAGCCTTCTGATGATATGATTCTACTGTTGTTTTTATATTCACCTACTTGAGAGTAACTATAGCTGATCTTTTACATAGGGAATTCAGCTATTTTTTCTGAGTAATACTGGTGGAGGCTGCAGGATAGCTGAAATATACTGACTGAAGCTAGACATAGTTGATAGTGCTAAAGAAAAAATACTCTACTTTTCACGGCCTGTGCCTGCAAAAGGATTCTGCTGAAATTACATATCTGCATGCATCTTTATCTGGATTAGGTTTCGACATATCAAATCCTGTTTTTCTTTGTTCCAAATATGGGTTTTGGTAGGTGTGAATTAGTAAAAAAAGAGTGGACAGTTTGTTTCTATAGTAAAATGAGTAGGAACAGGAGGTAATTCTAACTTACCAATCATATATCAACTTCAAACTTTAGCTCATATCAATCAGAGTTACCTGGTAATGGAGGTCTTGACTTCCTTGCATTGTCACATAATTTATGTTCTCTGGGTAGTACATCTTGTTACTTAGACAATTAATGTACGTTTTCTAGCTATGAAAAGAAAAACCATGTGAACCTTTTCTTTGTATCACAGTGGTACCTTTGTGTCTTCTCTGTGGACAGCCAGTTCTCACCTCCCATTCCCATGCTTGTAATCCCCTGCAAATACTTAAAAAGGATAAAAGAGAGATTGTATGATTGTTGATGTGCCCATGATTATTAAGTGTTGTGTGCACTTTTCTATATATGACCTGAACATCCGTCTGTGTAATTGTCTTTTTGAATCATTCCATTGGAAAACATAGTTGATTCATGTCTCCTGATGTTTTATTTAGCAGGTGTTTCTGCTGCTATTTTGCTAAACTCTGGGGTTTTCAAGGCAATGGGTCGAGGTAGAGGAAAGGGTAAGAAATTGACTGTACTTGACCCTGATGATCCAGGAAGTGATGAGGAAGAAAAGATCCCCACACAGAAGAGGAGAGGAAGGCCACAAAAATCACTCAAAGATGACATTGATGAAGAAGCAGTTGAGATGATTGAAGAGGAAGATTCTGAGAGTGAAAAACTTGGAATTCAAAACTTGGAGATAAAAGGTTCTGCAACAGAAAATGGGAAGAAGAGGAGACGGAATACTCGGGTGAAAGAGAAGCATGATTCAGTAAAAGAGGAAAATGGTAATGGAACAAGATCAAGCACTGATGAACCTGCTAGGTCCAATAATGTTTTCCGTCATAGGCGGAAAAACAAGCCTTGCCGTGCTGCAGAAGCTGGTGTTAAGTGCAACTGACGTTTTGGTTCTGCCTATGTGGACTTTGTTCCTGTTACACTGTAAATCGTGCACCTTAATTTCTGTCTTTATGCTCATTTTGGTACTTGCATACATTGGCCTTTTCTTAATCTTTTTGGGAAGGTCCTGAGCTGGTCATACCTCTTGTTATCTTTCAATACTAGTAATTTTGTAATCTTTGACCATTTCTTCTTGAGATCCTCCAAGCTGAAACTTATGATGATTGCTTTGTTCATGTGTAGATCAAATTTCATTTCATATGCAAACTGTTATTCTCTGACTACTCCTATGTTGCTTTTGATTGTTCTTGTCTAGCGACAGGTGAATTTAATCATAGCCCTTGCCCCGAAAGAAAATGAATTTTGCTCCTTTGGGCACTAGGCACTCCCGTGGTTCGTGAGAAGAAAAAAGGATGTTGCATCTGTTCATGATTGACGGATGTCTTGGCATTGCTTTGTTTTCTCTCCATTCCTATCAGCAAGTTCCGACCCAGAATCAAATCCTCCCGATATATCAACCAAGTCTACTGTAAGCCAAAAGGTCCTTCAATGGTTAGGGAAAGCTTTCATATCAATGCCTTTGTTCGTACATTCTTAACTTGATTGGGACTGTAATCTTGAATTAGTGAGGAGACTTCAATTTTATATGACTCATACATGTTGAATTTCCTTCTTTTTTCTTCTTCACGTGTTTACTTTTTTGTATTTTGGCTTCCTTTAGCAAAACCTCATAGAGCACGAATATGAGGCCTAAGAATAACAAGTTAATTGATTTAATACTTCTTCTTGTCTCTGCCATCTGGACATAAGTTTTCCTTTTTATTTATTATTTTATGTTTATGAAGATTGCAGTAGAATGAATTGAAGATAAAATAAACTTGTGAACCATTAATTATCGCAAGAAATAATGTGCATCGTGTTTTCTCCAACGGTAAAAAAGACTAACAAGAAAAAGATAATATAAAAATGCCTATTGCCTGTGTTTTATTCACTGTAATAAAAACAAAAACTACATGGCAAGCTCAAGTTCAATAACAACAACATACCCAATGTAAATTCTAAATCGACACTCAACTTTACATCGGAAAAAGAGATTACATTCATTTTTTCGGCATATCCCTCCATTTCTCTGCTGATCTTCTCCTCTTCATAAATTGCACACTTTTAAAATAAAAATTCTCACACATAAAAATTAACACAAATACAAGTTTGCACCCATAGCCGGAGCTCCTCCAACAACGAAAAAGAGTAAAAGAAAATACAGGTCCTATTTCGTCTTTTTTTCTTTAAAAAGAAGTTTTGGCAAAAATAGAATTTTCACAAAGTAAAATTTGTAACTGAAAATTCGTGACAAGCTCACAGGCCGCTGGTATTAGGGTTTCTGTGATTGGATTGTTCAACAGTTGTGTCCTGACTTATTCACTATTTTCCTACTTCATTGATTTTTTTGATTGGGTCTTAATAAAGTATCGTCCAAACTCGAGAAGAAAGCTTAAATTTTAGTCATATCGTTATGCTTAGTTTTGGTACAGCTTGTTTAATTTTAGTCGTAATATGTTTAAAAACATTTTGATACATTTCACATATCTATAATATAAAACCGTAAGAATAAAGATTCAAGGAATCTTCTTTACTTTCTTGAGTGGGGAAGGGCGGCCAATGTCGCCCAGCCAATGCGCACAGGCCACGTCCAATGCACAATGTGCAGGCCTGGCCTTGGCTGATGCTGCCTACCATTGGCCGACGTCGGTCGGCCGATGCGCACAGGCCATTACACCTTCAACAACCCGTTTCTTAAACGGGACATCATTGAAAATAGTAACTTTTAGAAAATTTCAAGAGGTTATTAAAACACCAATTCTCCCTCTTTTCCATTTAAACATACTTGATCCTCTTAGTGCGCCAACTAAAAGTAAAAAATTCTTGGAAATTGAAATAAATTACTAGTATTATACAATTTGAGCAGAAAATGGAATCGCGTTACAAGTATATTCTTTGGCCAAAAAGATTCACCTACATAGATCACACCAACTAATTAACTTGCAATTCCATCAAACACCTAATATCAGTGATGATAAAACAGCAACGATGCTAATTTGCCCCAGATTGTATTTGGGATTTTAAAAGGTAAAAAGTACTTGCAAAAACAAATCAACGCAATTTAAATACATGTTTTTAAATGATAATATAAAGAACATAAGCTGAATTACAGCTACATCATCAATATTTTCAACACAAATTAAGATATGAATTACAGCCATTTACAATTGAGTATGTACACAGATTAAGCCTTTAACCTGAGAGATTATAAACAAATTAGATCTTGATTACCAAAACAAAACATTTTAAGTGACGGAGTAAAGATGAAAGAAAATACAAAAAGAAAGTAAGTACTATAGGACTGTTGTTCCTGCACAAACCAGTAAGCTGTAGTCACCCCTCCACTACCACTTTTAATAAGATGAGATGCAAGCACCCTAAGCTATGTATGGTCAAAACGAGACATGCAGATCCTTTCAAAACTAAGCCTAATTGGATTGCTTTTCATTTTTTACTTATAAGCCAAAAGTCATAAGTAAGAAATTCTAACTTGTGGCTTCTCATATATTTTTAGCATTTTAGCTTAAACCAAGTACTTATAAGCTATGTTGCTTGGACTCTCCAAAATTCTTGCCGCACCTGTTGTCAGATTCTACAAAATGCACTACTTTTGGAGTATCTAACACGTACATGTAGACATTTTTGAAGAGTCCGTGCAACATAGCTTATAAGCACTTCTTAAATTTACTCAAGAAGTACTTGAGAGCTAGCTCATCAAATTCTTTCAGGGATCTGGCTCAGCACACATTTCTGATAAACTCAAGTGGCACAAGGGAAAATAACTTAAAATATCCACAAATATGACTGAGCACGACCAAGCTAAGCCAACTAAACCACACAAAGTGATAACTAGACACCAGCAGACACCATAGATCTCTTAAAAGTAAAAAGCTCGTGAACTTATCATAGAGTGATACCTGAGAAGTAGAGTACTTACTAAGCATAGAACAATACGAGCCTGCATCATATGTATCTATGAAACCAAACATACAAAACACACAAAAATACTCCGAAAGAAGGTTCTAGCTAATCCATAGTTCATAAACAGAAAATGTCTAAACTAAGACAAAGCACAAGCTATATCATATCTATCTAGATATGGTTCTCTGGTCGCACAGTCATAATAAGAAGTAGCAAACTAGGGCTCTCCAAATCTTCTAGGTGGTGTCTCCTTGCTAGTGATCCAAGATATCTACTCGACCCTTGCCTGAGGATGCAGTAACCAAGATACCTGAATGCAACTCCTATAAAGCTTAGGAAAATCTACCTGGAGTAAGGATGGTAACGGCCACTGCCACTATACCCTCCCCTACTTCCATATAAACCTCCTGATCCACCATAACCAGCACCAGTGCCAGATTCGTAAGCAGCACCAGGGCCAGATTCATAACCAGCACCAGGGCCAGCTCCCCCATAGCCACCATAACCACCTCCACGGCCATATGCTCCTAGCCCACTGCTACTGTATCCCCCACCATAACCACCAGCATACGAGCCAAAACGACTGGAATAACCAAGTGAGGGGTCTCCACGGTAACCACCAAATTCACTACTGCCAAAGTCTCCATATCTACCACCATATCCATAGTCACCATACCTAGATCCAAATGACCTATAAGAAGCAGGGCCAAAACCTCCACTGTCATAACCGCTATATGAATCGGCAAATCCTCCATAACTATCACCATATCCACGCCCCCTAGAATTACTACCATATGCAGGAGCAGAAGCTGGGTTTGAGGGTTTCTTTGGTTCTGCCTTCTTGATCTCAACCTACAACAAAGAAGCAAGTTAACCTAGAAGTTCCACCTGCATAATAGCCTGACAGCTGAGCACTAAAAGATGCATACTCAATGGAGAAACCTACAAACCTATACTCCTTGCATTACATTAAACTACCACATATGCAGCAGCTCCTTATGGCATATAGGTATATGTTAAAAGGAGAAAATTAGGCTGGGGTATGCTATGAAAGCACAATCCTGAGGATCCACTATGTACGCACGACAGTCATGTCCCAGAACATTTGAGATCATGAAGAAATATCCTACAAAACTTACCTGAGTACCCATCATGTCCATCCTATTTCCCTCAGCCAGCAAATTATCAACTACTTCTTCATTGTCAAACACAATAAATCCAAAGCCTCTAGAACGCTTGGACACGTGATCTCGTATGATCTCATACTCTGTTACTTTCCCAAACTTAGAGAAAAAGTTCTTGAATTCATCTGACAATTAATGTACAAGAGACAACAGTTTAAATACTTCAAGCTTAAAGAATACTACTGCAACTGTCAGACAACAGAACTAGTTAGTATAGAACAAAATGGCACAATGTTACCTTCGGTCATGGTAGTTGGAATGCCACCAACAAAAATCTTCCTTGTTTTAAAATCCTTTGAATCAGCAGATCCTTTTGGGATGGTTCTTTTAATCTCAACCTGGAAAAAGAGAACACCACAATTGGCAAGCCACAATCTTTCAAGGACTTATAATAAGATGATTTTCAGCTGAAGCTAAAGAAAACATGTAATACTCAAAACTCTAATAAATAAATGAGACCCACCAACCAAGCTCACAGTCTCACAAGTATATGACTAACTGTGCATATTGCAAGTAATCAATAATGTTTCAATTCAATTCAAATAAATTAACCTGGAAAAATCAATACCACAATTTGCAGGTTCTTATAATAAATATGATTTTTAGCTAAAAGCTTAGAAAATACTCTGATAAATAAATGAAACCCGTCAACCAAGCTCACGAACTCACAACTCACAAGCATAGGAAGTAGTCAACAAAATTCACCATAGTTCTCTAATATTTCAACTCAAATTCGACTACAATTGAACATCAAGGATCTACATAAAGCCATATAAAACTGAAGCTAAACTACTCACTTGTTTGTCATTGATAATATGGTTTTCAGCTATAACAGTGTCTACAACTGTTGGATCCGCAAAAGTGATGAACCCAAAACCTCTGGGTCTACCTGTTTGCCTATCTTTCATAATCACCGAGTCTATTATCTCCCCATACTTCTCAAAGTACTTCACAAATTGTTCTACGCAATTTTCATTAACACCCTCGTCAGCAAATCAAAACCCCACTAGCAAGAAACAGTTAATACATCAAAACAAGTGTTCAAAAACACTAACCTCGCGTCGTCTCTTTCGCTAGACCTCCAATAAAGATTTTTCTGTTCAAGAAAAAACAAAACAACAAAAATCCCTAATCAATACACATCAAACTTCGTATGTAAAACAATAATTTGGGTAATTCACCTACATCTTTTCCTAAAGAGTTCATTATTTATCCAACAAAAAGAGAGAAAAAAAACGAACCCAGGACTAGCGCCATCGCCGAAATCGTTCTTCCTGGAACCCATGGCTAAGATTGGGTATTGCGGATTGGTCAGATCTGAGAGAGTAAACGGAAAGCTAGGGTTCGTGGCTGTGTTTTAATATCAGTTGGAACAACAATTGAAGATTGGTGCTTTATGGTGCTTTATATACAAAGGCTTGGGAGCTTCTAGAAACTTTCTTGCTTTCAATTTTGTTTTGGTTTTCGACAAGTTGTCGGATTAATTTGAATTCATATCAGGCCTATTGAGGCTATCCCTTTGATTAGAGCTTTCAAAAAGGGCTGGTCCAAGTCTCACGGGCCAAGGAATTTAAAGGGCTAGGGCGGATCAGTCCTTCATTTGAAGGGCCTGGAAATATTCAACTCAATCTAATCATAGAAGGGCCGAGGGTTGGGGCGGGTTAGCCATTTTTATTTTATTTTTCTTTTTAAACTTATAATTCCATAACATCAAGTAAAATAAGAAGATTTTTAAATTAAATATGACAAACAATGGTGTTGTTTCAATAACACTAGCAAAAGATCTAGTGTAATTAACATGTATCTCGTACACCAAATACGCGAGCGAGATAAGAGAATGACAAGCAAGATGGGAGGAAGGCGAAGGAGCGATATTTGTTTATGTATCTCAAATGCATGTGAATCTACTTGAATAGAGTTATCTAGAACAAATTAATCTAATTTTGAGTCTATATATTCCGAGATACATGTATCTGGACATACCAAAATCTAGTAAGATTCATAATATTACAACATAGTGTGTACTTAGGGGTCGTTTGATTACTGTATAAGATACATCTTATTCGTGTATAAAAAGTTACATTAGCTTTACTATGTTTGAGAGAAGTTTTGTAATTTGTATTAGGTATAAAAGTCAACATAACGTATACCATGTTTGGTTGGTAAGAATTTAAATGTTGTATAAAAGTTATTCATGTATTAATTTATACTGTGTTTGGTTGCATTTTTTGTAGTCCTACATAATTAACACCAACATAACTTATGAGGGAATCTATGTATAAAGTTATGCAGGGTAGATGGGTATTAGTTATACATGTATTAAAATGATAAATTACATGTTTACCCTATTAATTTTAATCTTTTTTAATTGGAAACTTTATTGTTTTCCTATCTACGTTTGTTATTTTTATTTCTTTTAATATATAGACCATTTTCATTTCTTTTTATATAGGGAAAAAGGTCTAAAATATATTCGAACTTTGATCGAAATTGCTGTAACAATACCGAACTTTGGAAAGGACCTTTTACCCCATGCACTATTTAATAGTGTATTTTAAAGGTATATATGAGAAATGACCAGGAGGTCTACTATAAATGCAGAAAATATAAGCAACCCTTTCCAAACTTAAAACCCTCATTCTCATCTCTCAACCGAATTAGGCGATTCGAAGTGCGGGAGCTTCATATTTTCGGTGGCTTCGTTGTAGAGTGTTCGAAAGTTGTTGGGTGCACGTAGTTTGAGGTAATTTCGCGATAAACCTGACTGTTGTACCCTTTTTTGAGCTTTTATTTTTGGCATTCTTGTTTTGGTCATATCTCAGTCATTTTAGCTCGGTTTTGGATGATTCGAAGTCCCACATGTTGGGAATTGTCGTTGTCGTAGAGTGTTCAAGGAGTGCTGGGCACTTTTTGATTCTCGTTAATTCCGAGTTTAGACTGTTGTTGTTTTCTTTTAAGTTAATTAAAGTGTGATTTTCTTGCTTGTTGATTTTTGTTGTGTTTTGAGCCTCAAATTGTGTTCCATTTTGAAACACAAGTTCGGGGTACTGTTTTGGGTCTCTTGACGGAGTCAAATTAGAACAGTTCGGTGCGGGTTCCACGATTTTCGTTGTGACTCCAAAATTTACTCGTCTTTGTTTGTTGTGATTTTGGTGTCTAAACGACCGTACTAACGTTGTGATCCTATATTCGATAGAGTGGCAACGTTCAAGGGTCGTTCGGGAAGGAAAAGCTCCGGCAAAGTAATTTGGAGCGCGCGCGGTCGGTCTTAAGGTAGGCTACGGCTTCCTTTCTTTTAGATTGAGCTTAATTGTGCAAAAGTATGTCGATTGGAGTGAATGGGGGTGGGTACCAATTTTCTACTTTACTTTAATTAGATACCTTATGTTAGGATCGATTGGTCATATTTCGGGTGTAGTATCATGTTAACCGGTTTAGTAGAGTTGCATGTTTATGTGCTAAATGTTATTGTATGCTTCTATGCTATGTGTTGTATGCCTTGTTTATCCTTAACCGTAAGCATGATATCCTTAGTCTAGGTTAGGCTAGCATTGCCTTAGACTTATGACCCGTGTGGGCTGGATAGCCTTGAATTTCTGCCGACGTCGTTCGGATGACTTAGCTCCTTGTAGACTGGAGTAGCAGACTTGAGTCTGATAGTTTGAGCCTTAGATTAGGCGTTATCGTTGCTTGTTACACTTCTGTATCTTCTCCCTCTAGTTCCGACGCGTTCTCGAAGGTTTGGTGCATCACTAAAGGTGTGGGATTGAGATAGTATAGGCTTGGAGCCTTTTTTGTGATTTCTTAGAGTGGACTGCGCTCCATGGTGGCTGTTGTTGGATTGGATCCTATTAGAGATACCATCACCCCAGGGTCGTTCTTTCTAGCTGGGCTGAGAGAGTATCGCTGGCTGGGTAGACTCGGTGATATCGGCGATCGCCCCCTGGCCTCTCTTTCTAGCTGGGTTGGGAGTGTGCTGCTGGCTGGGTGTCCCCGAGTCGCTCTTTCTAGCTGAGTTGGAAGCTGACTGCATGGTAGGACGACTCGTGATATCTACCTCACTCACGGGTCCCTCTTTCTAGCTGGGCTGGGAGTGGACTGTTTGGTTGGGTGCCCCCTTGGGTCACTTTTTCTAGCTGGGCTAAGAGTGCACTGCTGGCTGGGTGGAATTTGATGGATTATCTTGGTTACTTGGGGCTGGGAGCCTGGTTTTCTTCTTTCTCATTAGACTTAGTTATTCTGTGTACCTGTCGGGCTTATGGGGGGTCCGTTTCAGGGTTTTTATTTAAAATTGCGCACGAGTGTACCTTCTGGGCTTATGGGGGGTCCAGTTAGGTTTAGTTTAGTTGTACTTAGTTTATTCCTGGTATGCTCGTGTGCTCTCTTTTCATATCCGTTTTGACCTTTCTGTGTCTAGATTCTATCATTTCTTATTGTTTTTACCCTTTTTGCTCAGCAGGCCTGTGGTGCCTACTGAGTACATGTTGTTTTGGTACTCATGCTACACTCTGCATCTACTTCGTGATGCAGGTCCAGCCTTCTTTTGCATCTGTGATTCGAAGACGAAGGCGAGCACTTGGCGTTTTGGGTTTGTCTTGTCTCCTTCTTTTGTTTTAGCTAGTCTTGTTGCCTTTGAGACACGTTTTGTTGTGGTCCACTTTTGGGACTTGTACCCTTTATTAGATAGCTCTGTACTAGTGACTTCTAGGTTCTGGAGAGATTTCTGTATATATTTATTTTGGTTTGCTTCCGCCTTGTTGTCCTTGTTTAGATTATTGTTTTTGCTAGTTTCTGCTCTTTCACTCATTGCTTGATGTTCTGGGTTACGAGTTGGTTTACCTACTGGTAGGGCATAGTAGGTGCCATTATGACTCGAGAAATCGGGTCGTGACAATATGTGTCCATGTGGACATCATAAATATTGCATCATTATAAATAGTAATGTGTCCACGTGGGCACATATATACCTTTAAAATACACTATTAAATAGTGCAAGAGGGTAAAAGGTCCTCCATAAAGTTTGGTATCATAACAACAATTTCGGCCAAAGTTGGAGTATTTTCCAGACCCTTTTCCCTTTTATATACTTACAGTTTTTATTTATTTATGCAAATATAAATATTTTTTTAATATTAGAAATTTGATTGTATATTTTTTTACGGTACATATGCTAATCAAATATTAGCATTATATATTATTCAATATATTTTGCATTCTATTAGCATGTATTATTTTGTAAATAATATATATTAATAATTTACAACAAGTTTAATATTCAATAGTTAATAATTCATGTATTGTAATCTCTAAATAACTAAATAATACCTACATAACTAATATCTCCATAGCTAATACCCGCATAACTAAATCATGCATAACTAATACTTGCATAACTAAATCATGCATAACTAATACCTTAATAACTCTAACCAATAACCAAACAACCGTTTAAGTAATTAGATTATATATTAGTGAGATTATTGTAAGTTACCCTTAAATAAAAAGTTTTGTCCAATGGGCCGACCCCGACCTGGCCCCGATCAAGCCTCAAGGACAAAGGGCTTATATGGGTCGGACTTATAAGTCCTAGTTTTAAATGGGCTTGACAAATCCTATCTCAACCCTATCCCAATAACGGTTTGGATTGGGTCAGCCCCATGGGCTAAGTCCGTTTTGACGGCTCTACTTTTGATTAAGAATTTTTTCATATTTAGGGGTCGATATCAATTTAAATTTTGCCTGATTGGTTTGAAATCGAAATTTCTGATTAATGAACGAGAAGACACATTCACTGTGCTACATATTTTAGTGGTTTCATTTAATTTTTATTATAGTGTCAATGATTTTTTATTTATTTAAAAATGATTGAACTGAGAGTTTGAATTGGCTTTAAAAGTAGTTTTTTTAAGTCAAAAATAAAAAGTAGGGGAGATCTATTTTTAGTTTTTGACTTATTTTAAACGTCATTTTTACATTGACAAACACTTCATAATTTATTTTAAGTCATTTTTTTACTTATTTTAAGTTATTTTTTATGTTTACCAAACACTTTCAGAAATCAAAAACTGACTTAAAAGTAGGTTGGACCAACTTTTAAGACAATCCTAACACCTTCTAAATCGATTTTTATATTTTTAAAAATAAAATTGAAGGTTACAATATAAATTTAAATAATTAAGATGAACAATTTATTTTATAGAAATATCAAAAAATTCTTGAACCGAATATATATATATATATATATATATACTTTGGCCTTGAGGTGAATTTTATTTAAACGAAATTTAATATCAAATTCAACATTGACAACATAAATACTCAACACTGATTTAGTTTTTATGATTATCTAAACTTTACGTTTTAGCATAGCAGCAAAAGTCATGTTCAATTCATAGTGTTAGTTGTAGACTACTTGAAATCTCTATGCTGAATTACATGAAATAAAACACTTGCTTGATAGAATGGTGATCATATACAACTAGAACAAACTATCTTGTTATCAAAGGATGCTAAAATAGACAAACTTAATCAACAAACTCAATTAAAGATTTCAATTTAAATCTAATACAATTTTAGCAGCCTTTTCATAATAACACCTAGTAAATCATGTGATTATAATAAAAATAATAGGCATATTTCATTTGATATTATAAATCCAAAAAGAATATTTTATGTTATTGAGATTTTTGGATATGTAGTTATATCAAACTTTATCGATTGTGACGGACGTTAGATGACGTTTTAAAAAATAAAAAATAATCAAACTATATAGAAATCGGGGGAAAAAATCTCCTTCTCTCATTGCCTTTTTTAGTTTTTTCATATATTTTGCTTTGTGTATTTCTAACAATTGTATATTTACTCTATCTTTTTTGCTCTCCCTTTCTCTATACAAAGTGTTTTTTTTGTATTTTTTGTGTGTTTGTATTAATGGTATATTTTTCTTTCTCTCCTTTTTCTTCTCACTTTCTTCTATTTGTAGTTTTTTCATATATTTTGCTTTGTTTGTTGGAATGTACCAAGTATCAACTATATATTTGCTCTCTTTTTTTCTCTTTCTATAGCCTTTTTTCTTGTATTTTATTTTGTGTGTTTGTCTCAATTATATATCTTTGCTCTCTTTTCCCTTCTCTCTAGCCTTTTTTCTTGTATTTAGTTTTGTATTTATATCAATTGTATATTCTCTCTCTCTCCATCTCTTTATGTTGCATATTCTGCGCTGTGTGATTATATATTTTCTCCCTTTTAAGTCTTTTTTTTTCCTTCGTCTTTTTGATACACATTTTTAATACAAGAATAAATGAACGCAAGTGATACAAGAGCGAATGATTACAAATTATACAAGAACGAATAAATATAAGTGGTACAAAAAAATTGAATACAAGTGATACTAAAGAGATTAAATACAAATGATACAAGAGTGAATGAATACAAGTGATATATACCAGAGGGAGAGAGGTGGAAGCATAGTATACAACCTAAATGCATGCATGAATACAACAAATACATTCGCATGATTCCTAAAAAATAAGTAAATTGAATACAAGTGATATATACAAGAGGGAGAGAGGTGTAAGCATAGTATACAACCTAAATGCACGCATGAATACAACAAATACATTCACATGATTCCTAAAAAATAAGTAAATACAAAGAGAGGTAAAAATACAAAATACATAAAGAAAGGGAGGTGAAAATATAAAATACAATAAAGAAGAGGTAAAAATACAAAATACAAAGTGGATTGATAAAAATATAAAATACAAAATATAAAGAGGGATATAGGGAAAAATACAAAATACACTGAGGGAGATAAAGGGAGGTGGGTTGTGGCTCCAGCAGGGTAGCCTCCATGAATCTCATGACTGCAGCCAAGTCATCCACCGAGCAACCGCCAGTGATCGGTGGCTCACCATAATCATTTTACTCTCTACTTAGTTCATTTTCCTCCACTTCTTCCTTTAGAGCCAACCATCTTCACCCGGAGAGAGGATTTAAAAGGAGCATCTATGTCAATCTCCAAGTGGGTACCCCAACTCGCCCGCATAGTGTCGACACCATACCCGGGAGAAAAGGGAGATTTTTGTTGCTCTAATAGAAGTCCTTTCACTCCGACTCGTTAATGCCTCGTATGGTGTAGGATACCACCAAAGATCGAGGGTAGGTCACATCACTGAGGTTTTCCGATGGATGGATCCTCCAAGACACCGAGTTCATCCACCTCCTAGCATCGAATATGAAGTAAGTGCTAGTGATGCCCTCAGTACTGAAATTGACTCGTGAACTCTTCCTCAATCAGTGTGTCCCTCAACCACTTCATGAGCATCTATTCTCCCTCTTTTCCATTTAAAGATCCTTGATCCTCCTAGTGCGCCAAACTAAAAGTAAAAAAATAATTGGAAATTGAAATAAATTACTATTATACAATTTGAGCCGAAGATGGAATCGTGTTACCAGTATTCTTGGGGCAAAAAGACACACCTACATAGATCACACCAACTAATTAACTTGTAATTCCATCAAACGCCTAATATCAGTGATGATAAAAGACCAACTAAAACAGCTACAATGCTAATTAGCCCCAGATTGTATTTGAGACTTTGAAAGGTAAAAGTACTTCCAAAAACAAATCAACACAATTTAAATACATCTTCACATTTTAAATGATAATATAAAGAACATGAGCTGAATTACAGGTACATCATCAACATATTCAACACAAATTAAAATATGAATTACAGCCATTTACAAAGATTATAAAAAAATTAGATCTTGATTACCAAAAGAAAATAATTTAAGTGACGGAATAAAGATAAAGAAAATACAAAAAGAAAGTAAGTACTATAGGACTGTTGTTCCTGCACAAACCAGTAAGCTGTACGCGCACCCCTCCACTCCCACTTCTAATAAGATATAAGATGCAGGCACCCTAAGCTATGAATGGTTGAAACGAGACATGCAGATCCTTTCAAAACTAAGCCTGATTGGATTGCTTTTCGTTTATTACTTTTAAGCCAAAAGTCATAAGAAATTCTGACTTATGGCTTTTCATTTATTTTTAGCATTTTAGCTTAAACCAAGTGCTTATGCTATGTTGCTTGGACTCTCCAAAATTCTTGCCGCACCCGTGTCAAATTCAACAAAATGCACTACTTTTGGAGTATCTGGCACGTACATGTTGACATTGACATTTTTGAAGAGTCCGTGCAACCTAGCTTATAAGCACTTCTTAAATTTACTCAAGAAGTACTTGAGAGCTAGCTTAAGAGCCTTAAAATAAATCAATATAAACAGGTTCTAAAACAAAGTAACAGTCAGACCAACAATCTACTGTTTTAGGTAAATGGCTTCATCAAATTCTTTCAGGGATCTGGCTCAGCACACATTTCTGATAAACTTAAGTGGCACAAAAGGAAATAACTTAAAATATCCACAACTATGATTGAGCACGACCAAGCTAAGCCCACTAACCCACACAAAGTGATAACTAGACACCAGCAGACACCATAGATCTCTTAAAAGTAAAAAGCTCGTGAACTTATCATAGAGTGATACCTGAGAAGTAGAGTACTTACTAAGTATAGAACAATACGAGCCAGCATCATATGTATCTATGAAACCAAACTTACAAGAAACACAAAAGAACTCCAAAAGAAGGTTCTAGCTAATCCATAGTTCATAAAGAGAGAAAATATCTAAACTAAGACAAAGCACAAGCTATATCATATCTATCTAGATATGGTTCTCTGGTCGCACAGTCGTAATAAGAAGTAGCAAACTAGGGCTCTCCAAATCTTCTAGGTGGTGTCTCCTTTGCTAGTGATCCAAGATATCTACTCAACCCTTGCCTGAGGATGCAGTAACCAAGATACCTGAATGCAACTCCTACAAAGCTTAGGAAAATCTACCTGGAGTAAGGATGGTAACGGCCACTGCCACTATACCCTCCCCTACTTCCATATAAACCTCCTGATCCACCATAACCAGCACCAGTGCCAGATTCGTAAGCAGCACCAGGGCCAGATTCATAACCAGCACCAGGGCCAGATTCATAACCAGCACCAGGGCCAGATTCATAACCAGCACCAGGGCCAGATTCATAACCAGCACCAGGGCCAGATTCATAACCAGCACCAGGGCCAGATTCATAACCAGCACCAGGGCCAGATTCATAACCAGCACCAGGGCCAGATTCATAACCAGCACCAGGGCCAGATTCATAACCAGCACCAGGGCCAGATTCATAACCAGCACCAGGGCCAGATTCATAACCAGCACCAGGGCCAGATTCATAACCAGCACCAGGGCCAGATTCATAACCAGCACCAGGGCCAGATTCATAACCAGCACCAGGGCCAGATTCATAACCAGCACCAGGGCCAGATTCATAACCAGCACCAGGGCCAGATTCATAACCAGCACCAGGGCCAGATTCATAACCAGCACCAGGGCCAGATTCATAACCAGCACCAGGGCCAGATTCATAACCAGCACCAGGGCCAGATTCATAACCAGCACCAGGGCCAGATTCATAACCAGCACCAGGGCCAGATTCATAACCAGCACCAGGGCCAGATTCATAACCAGCACCAGGGCCAGATTCATAACCAGCACCAGGGCCAGCTCCCCCATAACCACCATAACCACCTCCACGGCCATATGCTCCTAGCCCACTGCTACTGTATCCCCCACCATAACCACCAGCATACGAGCCAAAACGACTGGAATAACCAAGTGAGGGGTCTCCACGGTAACCACCAAATTCACTACTGCCAAAGTCTCCATATCTACCACCATATCCATAGTCACCATACCTAGATCCAAATGACCTATAAGAAGCAGGGCCAAAACCTCCACTGTCATAACCGCTATATGAATCGGCAAATCCTCCATAACTATCACCATATCCACGCCCCCTAGAATTACTACCATATGCAGGAGCAGAAGCTGGGTTTGAGGGTTTCTTTGGTTCTGCCTTCTTGATCTCAACCTACAACAAAGAAGCAAGTTAACCTAGAAGTTCCACCTGCATAATAGCCTGACAGCTGAGCACTAAAAGATGCATACTCAATGGAGAAACCTACAAACCTATACTCCTTGCATTACATTAAACTACCACATATGCAGCAGCTCCTTATGGCATATAGGTATATGTTAAAAGGAGAAAATTAGGCTGGGGTATGCTATGAAAGCACAATCCTGAGGATCCACTATGTACGCACGACAGTCATGTCCCAGAACATTTGAGATCATGAAGAAATATCCTACAAAACTTACCTGAGTACCCATCATGTCCATCCTATTTCCCTCAGCCAGCAAATTATCAACTACTTCTTCATTGTCAAACACAATAAATCCAAAGCCTCTAGAACGCTTGGACACGTGATCTCGTATGATCTCATACTCTGTTACTTTCCCAAACTTAGAGAAAAAGTTCTTGAATTCATCTGACAATTAATGTACAAGAGACAACAGTTTAAATACTTCAAGCTTAAAGAATACTACTGCAACTGTCAGACAACAGAACTAGTTAGTATAGAACAAAATGGCACAATGTTACCTTCGGTCATGGTAGTTGGAATGCCACCAACAAAAATCTTCCTTGTTTTAAAATCCTTTGAATCAGCAGATCCTTTTGGGATGGTTCTTTTAATCTCAACCTGGAAAAAGAGAACACCACAATTGGCAAGCCACAATCTTTCAAGGACTTATAATAAGATGATTTTCAGCTGAAGCTAAAGAAAACATGTAATACTCAAAACACTAATAAATAATTGAGACCCACCAACCAAGCTCACAGTCTCACAAGTATATGACTAACTGTGCATATTGCAAGTAATCAATAATGTTTCAATTCAATTCAAATACATTAAGCTGGAAAAATCAATACCACAATTTGCAGGTGCTTTTAATAAATATGATTTTCAGCTAAAGCTTAGAAAATCAGTAAAACTTAGAACTCTGATAAATAAATGAAACCCCTCAACCAAGCTCACGAACTCACAACTCACAAGCATATGTCTGCTAACTACAGTACTTTTACATATTGCAAGTAGTCAACAAAATTCACCATAGTTCTCTAATATTTCAACTCAAATTCGACTACAATTGAACATCAAGAAGGAGCTACATAAAGAACTGAAGCTAAACTACTCACTTGTACAACTAATTAGTACTTATATAACAAAAAATTAGCAGAATAAGATCAAAAGTTCGATTTCAAAGTATAAAACTGAAGCTAAACTACTCACTTGTTTGTCATTGATAATATGGTTTTCAGCTATAACAGTGTCTACAACTGTTGGATCCGCAAAAGTGATGAACCCAAAACCTCTGGGTCTACCTGTTTGCCTATCTTTCATAATCACCGAGTCTATTATCTCCCCATACTTCTCAAAGTACTTCACAAATTGTTCTACGCAATTTTCATTAACACCCTCGTCAGCAAATCAAAACCCCACTAGCAAGAAACAGTTAATACATCAAAACAAGTGTTCAAAAACACTAACCTCGCGTCGTCTCTTTCGCTACACCTCCAATAAAGATTTTTCTGTTTAAGAAAAAAACAAAACAACAAAAATCCCTAATCAATACACATCAAACTTCGTATGTAAAACAATAATTTGGGGAATTCATCTACATCTTTTCCTAAAGAGCTCATTATTTATCCAACAAAAAGAGAAAGAAAGAAAAAACGAACCCAGGACTAGCGCCATCGCCGAAATCGTTCTTCCTGGAACCCATGGAAGAGATTGGGTATTGCAGAATGGTCAGATCTGAGAAAAAATGTAAACGTAAAGCTAGGGTTCGTGGCTGTGTATATTTAATATCAGTTGGAACAACAATGGAAGATTGGGGCTTTATGGTGCAATATATACAAAGGCTAGGGTATGGAGCTTCTAGAAACTTTCTTGCTTTCAATTTTGTTTTGGTTTCCCATGTATGATATCCGCTTTGGAATCGGATTAATTTGAATTCATATCATATTGGCTAGGCCTATTTGATGTTATATACTTTTGATTTAAAAAAAACTTCATAGGGCCGATATCAATTTAACTTTTGTGTGATTGGTATGAAATCGAAATTTATGATTAATGACGAGAAGACACATTCACTTCATTACATATTTTAATGGTTTCATTTAATTTTTATTATGGTGTCAATGATTTTTTATTAACAAAATGATTGAACTAAATCAATTTTTATATTTTAAAAAATAAAATTGAAGGTTACAATATAAATTTATAAATATGCTAAATAATTAAGATGAACAATTTATTTTATAGAAATATCAAAAAATTCTTGAACCGAATATATATATATATACAATTTGAGTGAATTTTATTTAAACGAAATTTAATATCAAATTCAACGTTGACAACAGAAATACTCAACACTAATTTATTTTTTATGATTATCTAAACATTAAGTTTTTGCATAGCTGCAAAAGTCATATTCAATTCATAATGTTAGTTGTAGATTACTTGAAATCTCTATAATGAACTACATGAAATGAAACACTTGCTTGATAGAATAGTGATCACATACAACTATAACAAACTATCTTGTTATCAAAGGATGCTAAAATAGACAAACTTACTTAATCAACTAACTCAATTATAGATTTCAATTTAAATCTAATACAATTTTAGTAACCTTTTCATAATAACTCCTAGTACATCATATGATTATGATGAAAATAATAGGCATATTGCATTTGATATTATAAATCAAAAATATATATTTTATCTTATTGAGATTTTTGGATATTTAGTTATATTAAATTTTATCGATTGTGATGGAGATGACGTTTTAAAAAATAAAAAATAATCAGGGAAAAAAATCTCCTTCTCTCATTGCCTTTTTTTGTATTTTTTTGTGTATTTGTATTAACTAGTGTACTTATTCGTGCTTCGCGCAAAATTAAATATATATTTTTAAATAATTGATGTCGTTCATTGACTATCTTCAATAAGAAGTGTATAAAAAATAATACAAATCAAGTCATGGTATTGATGTTGTCTATTCAGAAAAAATTGTTAGAAAGATATTTTCAAACTTTACTTTCCGCTTAACATTGTCGATAAAAAGAAGAAAAACATAAAAAGTATCTTAAGAAAACAAATTAAGTTGATTATATAACATTACATCAGAGGTTATACTTTGCAATAGAAAATAAAAGAATTGAAACACATAATATAAAATAAAATATATATTTATAAGAAGTCATGATGTCATTAGTAATTTGATGTGTTACTTATCTACTCAGTTATATAAAAATTAGGGAAAAGGGTCAAAAATACCCCTCAACTTTGTTTTATTGGTTAACTTTGCCCTTACCGTTAAAATGAAGTTAGTTTTACCCCTACCGTTATTAATTTCACCATATATACCTCTTATTTGACGGAAAGCCCCAAATTGACCCAAATTACCCAAAAAGAATTAAAAAAAACATTCCCTATTTTTAACCCAATTGCCCCGACCCCTCTCGTCTGGTTTTTGGTGGAATTTCACATTTTCACCTGCTTTAAGCCTAAAGACCTCACTACCTCCTCTCCATCATCTGCTTCTTCTTCTTCTACATCATTTTCATTGATTCGTCGTCATTTTCTCACATCAAAATCACACTCTTTTCTCATCGTTCAACAAATCACACACTCTCTCTCTCGCACCGACATTCCTTACAATTCATTATTTTATCAAATCATCATTCTTAGGGTTTATGAACGAACGATTGAGTTGAATTGGTACTTGAATTTCACGGTTTCAAATAAGAAGTTAGATCTTAATCTTTGATAATTCTAAAGTAGAGTGAAGCAAATATGGATGTTGATTCATGGAGTGCTCGACTGCTCGTTAATCTTTCGCTTCCAGGCGCTATCAATCTACTTTTCAGTCTCGATCTGATAAGTTTCCCTTTGTGTGTTAGAAGTATTGGGATTTTTTCAATTATAGATTGGATTTTTATGTGATTTATGTTGTTAATTTTGGTGTATGAATGAAATGGGAGAATGTTGAGGCGGAAATGTTAATGGGTTTTGAGGAACTAGACGTGGATGATGATATAAGAAAGTTCTCTTGCTACTTTTGTAGACATTGATGGGTTTTGATAGGACTGCTGACTTGGAGGGGGTAGAGTAGTGGGAGATCGAGGTGGTGGTTTCGGTGTGACGGTGCCACGGTGGTGTAGGAGATCTCGAAGAGGATGGTGGCTTTGGTGGTGGTTTAAGTAGAGGGGGAAAACAAAATTTATTTGGGTAAAAGAAATGGGTTATATCATTAATTGGGTCGGGTCTGGTTAAAATTTGGATAATTTAAATAAAATTGGGTAATTTGGGACTTTTCGTCAAATGAGGGGTATATATGGTGAAATTAGTAACGGTAGGGGTAAAAATAACTTCATTTTAACGGTAAGGGCAAAGTCAACCAATAAAACAAAGTTGAGGGGTATTTTTGACCCTTTTCCCTGAAAATTATAATAGAGTGATAAATTTTTATTTTTTTTAGAGTACATGAAGTGTGAAATTGTAAAAAGGTCTACCAAGAGTTTGATCAATGTTTGTCCCTAACATATGCTCTCCCTTTCTCTATACATAGCTTTTTTTTGTATTTTTTGTGTATTTGTATTAACTAGTGTACTTATCCGCGCTTCGTGCAAAATTAAATATATATTTTTAAATAATTGATATCGTTCATTGACTATTTTCAATAAGAAGTGTATAAAAAATAATACAAATCAACTCATGGTCTTGATGTTGTCTATACAAAAAATTGTACTTTAATTTCCGCTTAACATTACCGATAAAAAGAAGAAAAACATAAAAAGTATCTTAAGAAAAAAAAAAGTTGATTATATAACATTACATCATAGGTTATACTTTGCAATAGAAAATAAAAGAATTGAAACACATAATATAAAATAAAATGTATATTTATAAGAAGTCATGATGTCATTAGTAATTTGATGTGTTACTTATCTACTCAATTATATAAAAAATATCATAGATTGATAAAATATTAATTTTTTTAGAGTACATGAAGTGTGAAGTTGTAGAAAGGTATACCAAGAGTTGGATCAATGTTTGTCTCTAGCATATGTAGAGGAGTGGAAGAGTTTTATAACATTAATCTAATTATTATTGTAGTCATCACTAAAAAAAAAACTAATATATGATAATAACTATTCAAAAGATAACTCCTTATGTGAAAAATTAAGATAGTTAATGTCACGACCCAGACCATCGTCATTGGCACCCACACTAACCCTCTGGTGGGAGAACCATTACTACAACCCAACTAACAACTTAACTAAAAACTAGGGAATTTAAAGATACGGAAGCATGTTTAAATGACAATAGAAATGGAGTCCCCATAAACTCCAAAGGTTTAAACAATTAACTAACCAAACTAATGCGAAAATTCAACCCCTAATACCTGAAAGTCATTGTACAAAAACTCTACTAACGACAAATCTAAGAACATGGGGTACAACCCCAAAACTAAACAACACCTTAAACAAATAGTTTGAGTCCGAAAAGAGTGGACTTAAACAAGAAAGATCCATGGCAGCCTGAAAGAACTAGCTCACCCTTGAATTCGGTCACGCTCAATAGTCACCTAGCTAAGGTTTATCAATAGCCGCCTGAAGATGCCCTGTACTCAACAAAGAACAAGCAAGTGCAGTATCAGTACACAACCACAGTGTACTGGTAGAATCACGCGGTTATCCCAATAAGCGAAACACATGCAAGTAACTAGGGGTGTACATAGTTCGGTTTGGTTTGGTTTTTCATTAAAAAAAAACTAAACCAATTATGTCGGTTTATTAAATCTAAAAACCAAATCAAACCACATAAAATCAGTTTTTTCGGTTTTTTTATTTTTTCGATTTTTTACAACTATACGGTGTTTGAAAAAGAGATCAAATATATTTTTACTTACCTGTGTGATAAGCTAAACTTAAAATATGTTAAATGAATAGAAATTTTCGAAAAGACGGTAAAATTCACATGAGTACAAAATATTTTTTTTGAAATATCAACGTACATTATGTTAAATTAATAAGATTAAAGATTACATGCAAACTGAATACAAAACAAAATATTTACAAAGTAAATTGTTAACTTTGAATTTGAAAAACTATAACAATATAATTGTAACTTCGGATCATAATACAAAATAAAAAAATTACAAATTTCACAAGCCCAAATTTGAAATAAAATATAAACATTGAAAACTATAAACTAACTAAAAATATATTAACAAAGTAGATTATAAATAGTATTTTTTATACTATAAAATAGGGAAACTTTCGCGTATAGCCACTCAAAAATAGCTTAATTACTCTCCATAGCTATAGTTTGCTAATTACGATTCGTAGCTAGGCAAATTGTATATGTATATTTGTCGAATTATATATGTATATTTGTCAAATAATTGTATATATGCAACTAATATACATATGTATTTGTATATCTGGTGAGCGAGATTAGGAGAGGGAGGAGAGAGGCGAGCGAGAGAGGGCAGGGAGTGGCGAGAGGCAAACTATATATGTATATTTGTCAGATAATTGTAGATATATAACTGATATACATATGTATTTGTATATATGCCGAGAGAAATTGGGAGAGGGAGGAGAGAGGCTAGCGAGATTGGAAAAGAGAGGAGAGAGGCGAGCAAGATTGGGAGAGAGAGGAGAGAGGCGAGCGAGAAAGGTCAGAGAGTGGAGAGAGGCTAATTGTATACGTATATATGTCATATAATTGTATATATATGTGTATAATTTGTATTTGTATATGTATAAAAAGAGGACAAGTGACGTAATTAAAGCTAAAATTAAGTTGCAAGCCGTAATT